CTTGTGTAGCTGATATGATTTTGTATGATGCCGCCATATATAGAGAAGGCTCAGTCTTGTCTGGAAGTGGCCTCCCCTAAGCTATATAGAAGTTACTACTATGCCCCCCTCCCCCTCCCCCTCCCACCCCATCCTGCCCCTTGCTTGCCTTCACCAGAAACAGACACAGCCCTTTGTTTGTAAAACTGTAGGAGTGAGTTGAATGGCTAGCTTGTGTCCCTGCAGCAATGGCCACGTTTCCCCCACTAGCTCAGGTGTTATGTAAGACCAGTGGAACACGCATTACACTTCTAAAAAGTGCTTTTCACCCAACGATTTTTTCCTTTCCCTTGATGGAGTTTTGTTTCTCGTACGTCACTGGCTATAATTTCAGTCAGAATCTCCAAATTTTTGAAAAGACAAAAACTACCATCGCGAAGCATTTCCACACGGATTTGTTGTGTGTGTGTGTCATTAATGATTATTCTACCTTTCCTAGGAAAAATAGTACCTATAATTGTCCAAAAACTCAGTCCCTAAGACGAACATACCTGGGTATAAACATGTATAATAACTCAATGTATAGCGTTTAGTGGAGGGGTGAGTGGGATATGAAGGGAGGCAAGACGATATAGTCGTCGTGTTACACTCTCTCTGGCCAATATTTTGGTTTGTGCAGTGTTATATTATGCAACCTTATACTCTCATGGTACAAACAGTGGAAGATGAACCCCTGTGATTATAAAGGAATATTATGTGTACCATTACGTTAATAAATCTAAGGTGATGGCTCGCAAAGTATTGCTAAGTAGTTCAATCGAGTGGTCAGCTAGACACATGACCAGTATTACTGCAGAGAGCAATCAATTAAAGAATCGCATTCCCGTCATTCCACAGACCCTAATAGTAATTTTCCAAAAGTCGTTGAGCAAATGCAGTGTTGGTTAAACAACCTTAATTAACTGCAACTCCCCCCCAAACGAGCCAGTTTGCACTGGAGTGGCTTTTGTGTTGCTCAACTCAACGCAAGAGCGGGAGAGGCTAGGACTGCTCTTCACTTAGAAGTTGTTTGTCAGCGTGTGTTGATACTGTTTGTGTCACTGTATCAATTCTCCCAAACGTTCGGTGTTGATTATTAGCAAATTACGTTTAATTACAGACAGATTTAGTCGTCGCCAAGCTGCCAGTCACTGATTTCAAAACGCCGCCACTGATGTGACAAGAACCCCGATAATTTTCCGTTAGATTTGTGGCAAAACACCTGCTGCGTGTATGAACCGGTCGGCATTGCGCAAGGCAGGCAAAAGCAAAATTGAAACTGACGCTCGAAAGTTTAAAAAGTTCACGCATTCCCGCTCATCACATGTGATACACAGACTGCCCTTTTGACAAACACTGAAGTTGTTTGCACTGGAATCTTTTGTTCTGTGAGAGTGGCAAAGTGTGAGATTTGAGGGTTATTCTGCGGGAGGGTAGAGCCCAATTGAAGGTACACGGCTCTATTTGTTGTACACATACTCTTGTTTTGCTCCCGCATTAAGTCCAGCCAGTATATCACAGCTATAATTAGGGAACGGCAACAGGTTATGTAGGGGATGACGTGAAACCGTGCAATGTATGGGTGGAAGGGCAGGCATGCAGTGCTGGCAATGCTGTGATGGTCACTGCCCTATACGGCAGTGGAGTCTCTCTCCCTCCCTCTCCTCCCTCTTCTCCCCCTCTCTCTCCAGACAATATTGTGTAGACTAATCACCCATGTTTGGGGCCTAGCATATAAGTAATCAATTTTCACTGGCTAGCCTGCCCATCCACTCTCTATGTGTATACGTAACTGTAAATACACTACTTCTGTACTTGTGACTGGCGCATACTGCAGTAGAAAATGCGTAAAAGGAGTTTTGGCGTGAGGCTGCGTCTTGTTTGTTCTGAAAATTGCAGCCACTTCATTTGCCAGGGGCGGTTCAGGCACCATAGTACCAATACACTCATATGTATAATATAGCACTGGAATGAAGGGGAGAGGGTTATGTAATACGTGGTCATCTGTGGTCGTATCGTATTATTGTTTGTTAGTGTGTATCATAGGATACGAACCGCAAGTGTTTGATACCCTTATTAGGAACTGATTGATAACTTTACAGTTTCCAGCTGTTCCGTGCAGTCAATCAGTAATTACGTGTGTGGGTTTGTTGTACATGCATGTACGATAATAATAATATGGCTCATGTATATACGTGTGTGCATGTGCTTAAGTGTACTATATACACGTGTGTATAGTGTGACTGCGGTATGCTTGCTGAATTTCATAACTTAATTACTGAGGAGGGAGAGGGAGAGGGAGAGGGAGGGAGAAGAAGAAGAAGGAAAGATGGAGGATAAAGGAAAAATATCGGAAGAGAAAAGAGGAAAGGATTATCGCCACCATCGTTGTCCATAAAATAATCGATGCGTGTATGGCACTTTAGGAAATGGTTTGTGTAAGAATTGTAGTGAATAAAGTATGTACAGCTACGTACTCTGTCATGTGAGCAACTTAAACTCCATTTCCCGTAGTGCGAGTCACATGTGCGTATAATAGGAGTCCCATTTTTGTATCTAATCTTAGTATTCGAATAATATCAGCGCCTTTTAAGGGAAGATGCTGTGTACATATGCTTTGTGAGTGTCGAGCTGTTAGGAGAATTGGAGTATTTAAAGAGCTACGTATAGTGATGAAAGTGATGGTCTGAGCATTAGCAATTGTCTCAATAGAACTTTGTGTGTGTAATGCCGCTTTACCTTCAAACGGCCGTTACGTTGGGAATACGTGTTAGCGATGGATCACGAGCACGCGATGGCGGGGTAAAAGTTGCCTAGCTCTGCGTGTGTGAGTCTGTGGGGACCGTCAATGGTTTGTCTTATGTGTACACGTGTGACTGAGTGGATGAGAGTGTGTTGATCCTACTGCGTCCATTCACTGTTGCCAGGCAGACCACCCTCCCCCCTCCCCTTCTCTCTCTTTCATGCACCGCACGCTACAACGTTCAACTGTGTGTGTGCGTGTGTGTCAAGTCTCAACTATTGATCTAGAGCTCGCTCTCCTGGCTGATCAGCTCATTTGCCTCTCACCTCTCGTTTGTAACCAGGCCCGCAATTAACCCACCTTCCCCCTATCTCCTTACTGCATGCCTGCAGCATTCAGCTCGGTGTGTGTGCACACGTTTCAAGTGTAACAATTAACTTAGAGCTCTGTTGGTTACTCCTAATGACTATACACACTTCGCTTGTCTCACACAATACGGTTATTATATAACCACGGTGGCATTCACTGGACTGCATGCCTCATGCATGACCCATGTATGCAGCTGCTCTCTTTCTCCTCTCCCTCTCTTTTCTCTAGTGGTTGCTGCTATAGTTACCCCTGTCCACATGAATGCACCGCAGACTCACTTTCCACTATAACATCAGCACACTTCTATAATTGTACGGTAGTTTATTGGGCGAGTGAAATGAGAATTATCGTTTGAATGAGTGATTTTCCGTACTTCTGATGGCACTCTCGGAAATCACATAATGTTTTACGTAACTGTAACTAGACGAAATATAATTTCGCAATTGCCTCTGCGTCAACGTGCGACATCGCAACTGCTCGCTAAAAATATGTTGCATTCGTTCGTTGTAGTTCATATTATATGCATGCATATTTGGAAGTTTAGTTACTATGTACATTGTGTATATGTCTGAAAAACTATGCCAAGCGGCCAAATGTTAAACATTTCTTGATGATGACAGAGAGAAATTAAAATGCCACTGGCACCATATTTAAAAACTATTAGCGAGCGCATGCCCTGTACACACGTACGTCTCCATGGCGACGGTGCCACCGTGTCACTCGGCACTACAAAGGTAGTCGGAATGAGGATGGAATGTGCCCAGACTCAATTTGTTAGTCGGTATCGTTGGCAATCGTGGGCGTGGGTCAGGTCACGCACATTAACCTACCGCTGATTATGTGTGGAATTAGGCTTGTATGGCTTCAGGGCTCTTGGCTTGGAATAAATTGTTACTCAATTTAAGATTTTACCATCTCGTTACCATCTCGTGAACGTCATAATTATGGTAAAGGGCGTGTTTGAAATAAACTGCAAGAAAAAAAAACTCCAAAGGGAAAATGGAAGCTATGGGATAGACCTGGCAGTGTGTCAATATTCCCACCCACTTCCATTTGTACGTCTCCAATGTATGGTGGATGACATGGATCGAGGTGTATAGATGTAGGCGTGTGTCTGGCTGAACAACAGAGGGTGTGTGAGGACAGGAGTGAAGGCGAACGTGGCCCTAATTGTGTTACAAGTTTGGGGTTTGGCTGATTTGGGCTGAGATTCCCTTACCAGGTGCAAACCTTTCAATCCCCACCAATATTATGTTACCCTAACACAGGGTTGTGTGTGTGTGTGTGTGTGTTGTGTGTGTGTGTTTTGGGGGTATTTGTGTTTGAAGTGTCGAAGCGTGTGTGCTAGCTCGAACACTGGGAAACAATCCTGGCTCTAGACAAATAATTATCTACGATAAATTAAAGAACCTCTGTACGTTACAGTATTGTTCCCAGTGCCTCACGTCCAGCAATGTTTCCATTCCCGGCTCCAAAATTGGTCAGTTCCTGGAAATCGTGATAGTGGCCCTTGAGAGAGAACTGAAGGCAAACACCAGCAAACACGCCCTAGCCTTCGCGTTGTTTGTTACAGCAAGCGCTTGTCCCTGTGTAAATGTTTATTATACCCTAAATGATGCAACGAGGGCACTTTTAGGGCAGTTGGTTTGCGGTTTATAATAACAAGTTCTTAGCTGTACTGGGCCCCCCTCAATAATGTACGAAAAGTTACGCCATCCTTTTCATCCCCTGACCTTTCCTCCTTACTTCCCCCCTCTTTTTCCTTCTCTCGCCTCCATTTCCTTTCTCCTGTCTCCCTCCCTCCCTCCCTCTCCCCTCCCTCCTCCCTCCTCCCTCCCTCCCTCCCTCCCTCCCTCCCTCCTCCATTCAGTGAGGTACCACGTGGACCTAGTGAGAGCGCCAGAGCACCCAGAGAGAGAAGGGGACTACATCATCGAGGATTGCTCCGAATCGTACAGGGCGTGGAAAGTTCTAGAAAACGGCCGAGGGAAGTTGTCCTGGAATTGGAACCTTAGGACCATACGAAGAATCCACTACCATAAGAATGTTGAGAAACTGGAGGTTGAAGCTGGGAGGTATGTAAATCCTATACTCTTTCTCGGTCGTATATATACTGCTTTGTTGATGCTCATTAATCCGTGAATAATATAGAACTGCCAGGCAATTAGCTACATTATGTGACCCGCTACATACGTTCCGCAGCTTTATGCCAAAGGTGAAAACCTTTTTAAGTATATAAGTCCACACATAGTCGAGAACTTGTCCTTTGCCAGGTAGAGCAATGTGTATGTGAGTTTGCTGCTTAGCACAGTTGGCCGGGTTTTTCTTTTCTGACCGGTGTGTACTGGCAGGCTGGAGATTGAGTCACCTGTCTTTCCCTGGCTAGCAACTGTCACGTCGTCTAACTCCACACACACATATAGACCCGGCCTAAACAGTCATGTATATACATTGTTGTAGCTTGGAAGCAACCCAATTTAGGCCTACGTCTAATATACACGATTTGTCGGCTCGTCTTACGAGTTCCCTGGGCACCCAAGCAGTTTGGAACACCCGGCCACTGTACCCTGTCATGTTTAGTGACCATAACCAGAGACTATATATTTAGTTAGGACTGATTCCACATGTGTTGTTGCATCTAGTCCTGATCCATCATCCTTATAAAATCTTCATGAAACTCCTTCATTTGGCTCTATATTCCCTTATTGTAATACGTATTATGTTATGTTAGTATTTAGTGCAACAGACTAAACCAGTAAGCCTATGTACGTATCTGTTCTTTCTCAAACAGGCTGGCAGAGACGGGTGAGGGACACTTCTTCTTTACGGGGAGACACGCCTATCGTCTGTTTGAAGCCATGAAGACGGAGCTAATGGCGCGGGCACAGCAAAAGACACACCCCGAGAACAAGTCCCTCCCACCTTCCCTCTCGGCAAACCACTCGAACCTCTCCCGCTCTGCTTCCTCCGTGAGTGACGGGAGACGACAGGGTCACCCCCTGACGGCCAGCGTCCACATGAACTCCAACGAGCAGACCTCATCTACCTCGGGGCAGAAACCACCACTTGGCCCCCGTTTCTCCCATTCTAACGGAGCCAAGAGCTCGGCATCTCTGGAGGAGAGTGAGACGAGTAGCGAGGACTACAGTCCGTCCGACAACAGCAGTAGCTTCACTGGTACCGGAGGAAGTCTCCACGATTGGACCACGCCCTCCCCTACCCCACTCGCGGGGAACGGGATGTTCGAACGAACGCCGATACTTCCTCCAAGAATCTCAGACGCCCGTCCCTTCTCTCCTTGTTCCACCACCTCTTCTTCTTCGTCGTCGACCAGCGGGTACAACGTCCCCCGACGCTCCTGCCTCCCTCCTCCTCCCACTTCCTCCTCAGGGACGCCGCACTACATGAGAGTGAAACGCGACGAGATGGACGGGGACAGCGACTACATGACCATGAACCCCGCCCTCCGGAAGAAGACTCCGCCCACTGCCGAGGAAGCGGCCGAAAACGAGGACGAGGAAGATGAGGAGGAAGAGGAGGAGAACGACGAGGAGTATGTTGATGAGGAGTATGTGGAGACCTATACTGACATGCAATCGGCTCAGACCGACATCCCCGCCGATTTGGTAGATCAGTACATGCGGATGGTTCCTATTGGAGGTTCCCAGATTGGCACACTCACCAGGAGTAATGGTGGCCCCGCCCACTCTGGTCGGCCGTCCTCCGTGCCTCCTCCCTCACCACCTCCTCAGTTGGCATCGCGGTTCAGGGAGCTCAAAATCATCGAGTCGTCTTCCAACACTTTCCCCGGGGCCAACCGGGAAGGCACTAACTCATAGTGTGGTCAATATTGGCCGTATATATACCGATACTTTATGTCATATTGCTTTGTTCGTTTCATTGTGGTCATCATAACATGCAGTAATTATTGTTGTATAATTATTAAGAAGTGGAGTGTGTGATTTTTAAGGAGCATTGTGTTGTTTCATTTCTGTATATATAGTAGAATGCTTTTCGGTATAAAATTCATTTCTCATTTCTAAAATTATGAACGAAGTTGGACATACTTTCGTACTTACCATTACAGTGACTTCTGATAAAAATTAAAAATACTGTTATGAATTATGAATGCAACCCAAGCACCCATTAATACTGAATGTTATCTGGTTACAATGAAACTCCCGTCACAGTGGGGCTTACTGGCCAGTGTTTAAAGTTAGTTGAAAAGGTCTACTATAATCACGTACATGGCTAGAGCTGTTACTTGTGTTTCTTGCCAGAGGAGTCCTTGTTTTTCCTGAGCTGATGGCGGACTCTGGCCTGGCCCAGATCACCCATGGCCCTCCACGCCTCACACATCCACAGGAACTGACAACAGCAGTATACGGAAGCACAATAGTACTGTATTAGTGCATGATACGTATTCTAACCTACTGATCGGCATGGACAGAGCGATCTTTTATTACGTGCAGTGAAGCTCTACTGTTAATGCATTGTCAAGGCTGTTTCATGAATATGAGTATAAAAAATATGAACAGGTCACACGGTGTAATGTAAGTTCATAGTCATAACGGCATGATGTATCTGGGAGCTCTCTAGCCTTGTGTTTAGAGCGCTGAGCAGCTCTGGTAGCTCAGTATGAAGAGCAGTGTCGTGGGTTTGATTCACTGCAGCTCATTCTCTTCGTATTATTTTACCCGACTAGCTATGTTTCATGCAATAGCTCACCACCATGACGAGACAGTTGATAATGATAGGAGCGGCAAACACTGCGAATATGAAGAATCCGGACGAGTCAAAATACTGCTCTCCAGCAAACAGACTGAATGAAAAACAACAAAAGGAATCCGAACTGGACCACATTATGCGTACTTGAACTATCAGGGGCTGAAAATCGTTCTAGATGCAATGTTATACTTGGTGAGTATATCAAAAGTAGGGAGCAAGTCCGCATGAGATTGTACCATGCACACACTGAATCAAGTACATATCAACGTACGTATACTGCTTCAACCATTTGATGTGTATTTAGATAAGCATAATGCAAGATATCATACATCAAAGCAGACTGACTGGTAGTTGTTAGCTGCCCACTCATTGATGTATTCACTTGAAAAGCATAGGATGGCTGCAAAAGGAGAGAGATGATCGAGTAGTCACTGCGCGCGCATAATTATTATTATGGCCGCCGCGCGCGCCGGCGCCCAACGGGTATTGCGCGCGTGTATGCGCATTATGACACGCGCGCGCCGCGCCTTAGCCTGGTTGTTCCAGCCACACTTTTTCAAAAAACGAGTGGTAGAGCATCTATAATCTATTCAGCTGATATTTTCATCATTTTTTTTATCAACATAACTAAACCCTGCATGCCCTCTGCAACCATTTTTATCGCTCAGTAAAAACCTCCCAAACCAGCTGGAGATGGATACACATCGAGCACATAACGTTGACAAGGTGAGTGTGCATCCGTTTTTATGGCTGCAAGCAATGTGAGATGTATATGGAATGGCATGTTGCTCTAATGCATACACTGAACACACTCATCGTCTGTGTGAGCAGATGAAGAGCTGCTTTCGTGCGTATTCCGCCTTCTCAGCTTCACAAAACACGAAAGACCAAGGGAAGCAAAGATGAAATACATACATGCATTTCAAAACATCTACACGTATATACGTATGAGGATTCGGCACTTAGATATATACTGTATGTATGTATGTACACAAGGTATAGTATGGAGGTTTACATACGTTAACAGTTATAATATTGTGCGGATTCAACCACACATCCATACTATAATATATACACGTATGAGATGTTTACCTACACACATTACTGTATGGAAAGTGTAGGTTTTGCCACTTGGTTACATAGTGGAAGTTGGGTCACAGAGCAATTCGCAGGAAGTGAGTGCAGCATCAATAATTGGAGGGATTCGTTGCCTAGCGAACCCTTGGGAGGAAATTGTACTACTGCTTCCGGGAATATTTCTATGTTCTCACAACACACAGTGTGTGAAGACGGCAGCGGAAGATAGTGAGTGCTGCTGGATAGCGAGCCAAAAAAATAATGAGCACTTCTGGCGATCAGAGGCTCCGCTTTTATCGAACGCAGCTTTGTGCACTTTGTTGCACGTGTGTTATATACCTCTGTACAATGTACATTATCATGTATAATAGGGTCTATCTATGCGGGAGTTCTGTATGAAGGAAGATGGCACTGTACTGCACTGTACTTTATCGCATTCGAAGATAATGTGGTTCTTGATTGATGGCGCCGAGGCAAGCTTACCTACTAGCAATGCACGTGTGAAAATCCGGTTACGCTCTGTTTTTGCTTTCGTTTAGAGTTTCGTCAGCTATTACACACCACGGCATTGAAGGTGAAAACAAAAAGTCCTCCATAAATTGTAGGCAATACGATAATAATTTACCTAACAGGCAGAAAATTACTGCTTGGACATAGGGTCTGCCCCGTGTGATTAGGATGGCTGTGAGTGTGGTGGCATGGAAACCACCCAGTCCCCATAGCCAGCGTTCATTCCAGTCAACCTGTAGTGGTTTAACGTGTGTGTGTGTGTGTGTGTGTTAGATCAGTTGGGAGACACAGTTGAGTCACACGTGTGTATATACATGTGTTAGATCATTTGCAGTGTCTAAACTCAAGGTCAGATATGCAGAACAGGCCTTCATGGCAGACAACACAGAATGGCCCGCGGTATTTCGGGCCTTGAACAACACAGGACACAAATTAGTACCCACTACTCAAGCATAAGGCTGGTCCACATAAAATGTACACGTAAGTTCAGTGGAATGTTACTGATTGGATTTTGAGGCAAAATAGTATTACGAGTACCCAGACATTATAACACTAGCTACCAAATTCAAGGCAAAAGATTGGAGTTTGTACTAACTATTTTTTGTATTTGAGACCTCTAGCTAAATACTCCATGCTGTGCACAGGCTAATATATTCTCTTTGCTTCTCCCACAGACATCTATGGGTCTCTGAAGTGGGAGACTCCAGAACAGCCCTAAGAAGTGGTAGGACGAGTCATTTATAGGGTGTCCAGTGCAGTAGTGGACAATAGCTAGTGTTTGTCTGCTGGTAAAATACAAACGTTTGCTATCGGAGTAAGCTGAAGTGTTGTGTGTTTACGAGGGTTATGCCACCAATGTGGTCCAATAGGGTTCAAACGTCATTTTTGCTGTATAAATACACGTACAGATCAGCCATCTCGATATAACCTACACAAAATGTATGGATCAAGCTAACCCCCAGACTGTCACATTAGAGGGTGATTTTCTGGTGGGACGGGCGGTATTTTTGAACCAAGAAGCTGAGCATGCTGTGTAGTCGGCTATGGAGCTAGAGACTCTCTCCCTGTTTCCATGGGTGTTGATTATGTGCATGCGGTGCGAAGAGGGTGAGAGATCTAACCCTAGTAGCCATGCCTTAGTCCCCCATGTATATATTACCTATGTAATCTTCAGCCTTTGCTCAGATTACAGTTCTTCAAGGGCCAGGAGGTGGGTTTAAAGTCAACAGACGCAGGTACACAACAAAGCACTTCAAATGCCCGGCGGCGGACGACACACACAGAGTTGTGTACATGTCACTGACACACACACACACCATTGTAAGGTATCCCCTTCAATGCACACAATGCCCGGCTTTATATGTCACATTATACAGTGGGGCGTGTACATATGGGGCACAATAAAGTGCTACAGTTCTGAAGGGGATTTTCAGAAGAACAGAAGAAGGAAGTAAGGCCGACTCATATTATGTACTTTTAAGGTTTTCGTGATGTGGTAATCAGATTACTGGCGGAACTCTCGTGTGCAAAATTAATTTAATGAACATTCGTTGCATTCTATGGAGTTGATTTTGGATGGTGTGAGGAAATTGCCAAGTGCAGTATTTTCCGGCGTATCATAGTTCACACCCAGCATGTGTGGCAGCTTGGCCCACAGTGTTGTGTATAAACAAACACACACACTTTCCATTGGAACAAGGCACTATTCGACCACATGACACTATGGTATGGGGTGTTAGCTTATAGTTTGCTCTACAATTATGTTGGCCACGTCCTACAATAATGTCAACTCGTCGTAATGGACTTTTCTCGGAATGAAACATTCTATGCCACACAGATGTTTTTCTCAACATTTTAACTATATACACATATGATTACATCCACTTATGCTATGTGATCCATAGCATACTGTTCATGCATGAACACGTTGAATGTCCCAAGGGGGGAAACTGTATTATGACAGCTTGGTTTGGAGAGGGAAGCTAGAGTTCTCCCTCTGTGACTCAAAGATGCATGTGTATGCGGTACGCTTTCTCCCCAGACTACAGTGCATCAACTCACATTGAAAATCAGCTCTTTGAAGAGTTCAAGGTCCATCTCCGCTCAAAGTGTGAACGCCGCTTCCGTAATCTCTCCGCGTACTAATTCGAAAATCGTAGATTACGGACATTGTGGCATGCGCGCGCCGCAGTAATAAAGAACGACATGTTTCGGTTGATGAACGAAGAAGTGTGAAAGTAGACTAGTGTGTGTGCACGAGTAGTTGTGTTTTCTGAAGCCCGTATCCACACCACCCCGAGTAAAGAACTAGCCGAAGGCTCGCTCTGGTGATTGGAGTCGAGTGTGGAGGACAGCCATGACGGACTCTCACGACGGATTCCGCGACCTCTCCGGCATTGGAGACATGTTCAAGAGCTGCGTCGCACACATGAAGGTACATGCGTGTGGTTTGCCCCTTTTTTCTGGCCTGCTGCATGCACACAAGGTGGACGGAACCCATTCCAAATCGCACATGCATGATGTACGTGCTGTTTATCCAGTTGCTGGGCCGTTCCAGCTTGGCTGGCACAACCATCTTTTGTGAATGTGCCCCCAAAAGTCTGGGAAGACCACCACCGGTCCGTTGATTTATTCAACAGAGGGCGACAAAACTGGTTGCTATTGTGGCGGTGTTCAGGCACCCTCCGGCATCTGTTCACTGCATTGTTGCAGTTTTTATCAGCCGTTTTCTTTGTTAGAAAAGATGGAAACGCTGGGATTTGCATTGTTCTTTATTGGCTGGTTGTGTGTTTACTGCAGGGCGGATTCCCTGCCTGGGAGGAGTTTGTGACCCGAGGAATCAAGTTCCAGAAACACTTTGAGTAAGTAACATTACTATAATATGTGCAGTTCAGGTTGACATTCAGTTTTGGAGGCTTACACACATGTGTATATACAATCTACATGATTGCCATTTCCATGCATGGGAGATATTGCAAGGCTGTGGTCTCAGTGTGTTCACTGTCTATTGTCTGTGATTGGGTTAGTTTGAGAGGGGGAAGGGGTTTGTTTTAGCGAGGCTGCCATAATCGGGCAGTGTGGTGGTAGCTCTGTGGTGGTAGTAGCCGGTTGAGCCTCATTCATGCAGGCACAGAGGCTACAGAGGTTCGGCATTGAAATGCTGAGAGAGTCCTTATCTGGCTGCTTTTTAGAAACAGTTGTTTATGTATCTCTGCCGGCAAGGGCCATTACAGGAAGTGGGAGGTGCAATACTGGGTCTGGGCTCTGAGGCCCTCTGGCTCTGATGGCTCTAATCTAATTGTGTACCCCCTCATGTTGCACAGCTGTAACTTCTGAAAGGAAGTGGTCTTATGAGTGGGCTGATCTCTCTATTAACCAAATCATACATGCCTTTTTTATTGCCAATTATTATGCATAAGTATAAGTGTGTACATCTTTGTAGGTTGCTAAACCTATCAGTGTGGTTAAGAGTTATGCCCAGAGTTGAAGACACTTTATATATATATATATATATGGCTAGGCTTGTTACGGCCCTATTTGTTGACACATGAGGTGCCATAGCTAATTTGCCTGCGATTGCTTTCAAGATGCGGTTGGTCCTACTTGTGCCAGCATATGTGGCCCGAGTGTCAAATATTGATTGTAAACTAGACTTGCGTAAAAGGATTCTTAGCGGGCGGTCAAGTTATAATTATGTAGGTGATAGGTTTGATATTGGATAAGGTGCAGGAGGGAAAATATTTGCATTGGGTTTTCTAGTGGTCAGAAAACGGTAGGCAATGCTGTGGACAGATGGTGTGTGGGGGGTGTGTTAAATCCACACATACATGAATATTTGCTGTGACTTTACAGTTTGCTTTACTGCCACGTTTCTCTTTTCTCTCTGTTCAACTTCTCCTCCTCCTCCTCTCTGTTTCCCTGCCAGGCAAACTATATCTTCATTCAACGGTTTCATCGACAGCCTCTACAAAATCTCAGAGCTTGCCCACAACACGAAAGGTAATCGTATTCCTAACCCCATGTCTGATACAATATGTAGTCGTGAATACACGTCACGCTGGGGCACATGTTGACATTACACCTGGTGGAGACAGACAGACAGGGGGCAATCTTTGATAAACAGTATTGTCGCAATCAAGTGTTACTTCCTCTGTAAACAGGTGTTGTTTGTCTTCCTTCGTCAAGTGTTGTGCTTTATAGTGTATGTGTGTATATACACTACTCCCCAGCTCTTTGTGTCAGTTCGTTGTAGTACTTGATTTACTCACTCTATTGTGGTTTTATTCAAACTTGTAATACGGGTATTATGTGGGTATTGTGTACATACTACGCAGGTATGTAGAATGCAGAGTAAACTGTAGTGGATGCGGCTCTCTTTCTGTAATAACTTCCTTCCCACAGGCTATAATTACACTTGTAGTCCAACTTCAAACAACCCGGTGCAAGGAATATACACTGTATTCTGAGCTGTGGGCTGTGGGCTGCACCGGTATCAGTATTGGACATTATACGTTAACTAATACGTATAGACCTGTCTCTCTGTGACTGTCTTTCTCGATATGAACTCAAATACCTGTATCTGTATCTACAATTCAAGTAGAAAAAACTCTTTACATTTTTGGTCTCTCGACCTTTGAGGCAAATATATATGTATATGCAAGTAGCGAAAATGATATGCACGCGTTGCAAAGGACGTGCAATTATGTGATATATACACCTGGAGGGTGAGGTGGCAAGTGGAAAAAGACTGCGGGTACGATTGATGGCCAATTCCTAACAGAATTGAAGCTCTTAAGAGTCAATTCCAAAGTTTTGGTGATGCCTTGTTTGCCACCTAGGTGTGCACTTGTGGTTCCTGAGCATGTTTGCCGGGCCCTCCTGGATTCGTGGAACTGCTTACACCGCAGCCATAGGTTTTCTAGTTAGCTTCCAGCAATAGTGTTAGCATGGAGCTGGGGGGGGGGGGGTTCTGCCAAAATAGTGTTAGCAATGGAACTAGGACACCCAGAGGCCTTGCTGCTGTGGTGTCACCACAACAGCTGGTGAAGACAAATGTTTCCCTCTCCTCCAGTAGTGGTGGAGCTGCTTGCATAGTTGCAGTTGCGTAGTTACTTAGTATTGCCAGCAGAATGCTTGCCGCCATCTTTCATAATAGTGTGTCATACATACATACAGCTGTGCCACTCCAATTAATTGGAGTTGTGTGTGTGTGTTTATCCCGTATGTGATAGTAATCGTGGGCTCTAAGTCTACTTTTATACACCCCCCTAACAGCTGCCCTCCACTATAGCGCCTCGCTTTAGACGTAAGCAAAACATGCTGCCAGTGACGAAGTTGTTTTCGACGGAGCACCGAGTCCTCTTTCCGTTTCCCCGTTTCTCTCTCGACTTGTCAAAACGAGCCACACTGTAGGCATTCACAACTTTCAGTGTTCCGCGTGACGAGGTCAGTTGTATTCCCAGCATTGGGGGGAGAACTCTTTTCCTCAAAAGTGTCCCACTGTATTACGTCCTTTGTGAGTGTGTAAGTGTGGGGGTCGCACTAATAGAGCTCCGTTTGTGGAGGGTTTGGGACCAACTAGTGTGCTCTTGCAATCCTTATTCTGAAGCTCTGAATGGAGTTTGCGAGTGATACGTCCTCTAACTTGGCCAAGACACCCCCTGCTATTTAGATACAATTTCACGCCGCTGTGCGTCTTGATGCGAAGAACTGTGTTCAAAGGAAAGGAGACCTGTTTTGATCTTCCCGGTGTGTTTTAGTGCATTCACAGTGTGTGTGGGACACCTTGAGAGTAGGAGCTGCACATATACTTGGCTGAGGTGCCCCTGGTAAGGTCAGAGTACACATGTTGTGAATGTCCCTGCCTACGAGGTTTCTTAGCATGTATACACATAGCTAGGAAGGCATTCAGTACTTTGGGTGCTTCTTGCTTCACAGCTTGTTCAAACAACAGCCGTTTCTGTCCCTCGGAATGCCTTTAGCAATTTGGAGTTGGCTGCAGTGTGCATGAAGTACGGCTTTGGATGTCAATGCTTTTCGAGAAATGCCTCTCTTCTCTGTCTGCTTAATAAAGAGTTTGCTTAACAAAATAGTTTAGGTTACACAACTGGTGGTCTACTGTGTTGTATGATAGTGTATATACCAGTGCTGGAATTCTGAGTGGAATTTCCTCTGATTGCGTTACTGTTCCGGCCAGCTGCTGCTAGCTACAGCATTTCCTGACTCCTTGCTCTCTCTCTCCTCTCTTCAGAGAAAGCTCTAGATACCGAGAATCGAAGTGTGCCAACCCTCTTTCCCACTAGTGGGAATTGAGTTGGGGGCTGAAAGGATGCAATTAGTGCCTCTGTGTAGCTGGCAATTGTACTGTAATGGCTCAGCAGCGAGCCTACTGTAGTGGAACATGTAGGACTGGTAAATCTGTTGGTAATCTAATGAGAGGGTGGCTACCTGGCCAATTTGAGTGGTGGGCAAATGGATGTATAACTAGTATTATAGTAAAGGGTCCCTAGGGTATAGTTGAGCTACTCAGATGACACTCTAGTCCAGAGCCCTTTGTTAACATTGCAGATTACACCTGTACTTAAATGTTGGATGATTGGCTGGATTGGTGGTATGTTTTTGGTTAGGTGCTATTCATTGCTAATTATAGCACCAAACGCCACCCATTGCATCAGCAAATTAGGACTTTGTTTTCCAACTCTGTGCATCTTTGTAAGGACGAGATGCTGATGAAACTGTTAACATGGACGGCTAAACATTGGACACTTTCAATTAATGTGCACCAAGCACAGCATGTATGTACCCTATGGAAAAGATGGCAGTAGCACCCAAGTACATATGTCAAAAATTCTTGGGGTGTGTTAATCTTTTGACTTGTAAAAGCCTGCGTAAGGGGTAACTCGGTTAGGTCGAATATTTCGCGAAGAAATCGAAACGCTTGTGTAAGCTGTCCCATTTGCATTCCGCGGATTCCGTCTGTGTATCGCCGTGGAAACCACAGACTAAATTCCTCTTGCTGATATTCCATAACACGCGGCCCTAAATTCATGGCTGGAGGATTGGGCTGGCAAGTGGTTACAATTACACCTGAGTTATTACGTAAAGCTTGCATCAGGATGTATCTTGTTTTCCCTCATTTTTCCATCTACTCTGTTTTCTTCCCTCATTTCTCCTGTGTGCTTTTTCTTGTGTGTCTCTTATCTTCCCTCTCTCCCTCCTCTCTCCCTCCCTCTCTCCCTTCCTCTACCTCTCCTTCTCTCTCTCCTCTCTCTCCCTTCCTCTCCCTCTCCTCTCTCTCTCTCCCTTCCCCAATTCCCATTTCCCATATTAGGAGGGACCTATGAGATTGGGACCGGACTAATCAACCTCGCCATGTGGCATCGCGGACAAGAAATGAAACTCAAAGAGATGAACACGTGAGTACATTACTTCAGTGAGAATCCCTCGTGTGCATTTCGCTGTCTGTACGTATGTACGTATCTCTGCAAAATGCCTTGGTACCCAATTCTCACCTCACTCACACCTCAAGCAATTTTGCACCGGTACACGTACTGATGTGATGCTTAAGCACGGGGTCAGTAGCTTCAGTACAGCCACAATCGGACAAACAATCTGTAAATGCTTTGAACAAGAAAATCTCTTTTCGTACCCGATTTACCCAACGTTCTCTCTCCTACAAAAGTGGCCCACTATAATATGCAGTATACACTACCCGATCCCACTATTCATTTGGGTGTGTGTGAAAAGAGTCTTGCCAGAAACTGCAATTCTCGAGAGCTTTGTGTCCAGTTTGTAGCTCTGGGGGAGAGCCGGGGGCAAATTAGTGGCTGTGTTTGAGCCACTTCCCCACAACTGTACGTGTTGATGGTTACTTGCTGTACATTGTGCGTCCATATATCATTCAGTGCCTGTGCATCTGTATGGCATCTTGTGTATCGGCGTTAATCTGTGAACAGCTCGTTGACAATAGCCGAAAGTCTTTGTTGCACATACACGCGGCGGACAGAGTGTCACAGGGACACACAAACAGGAAGACACCGAGGCTGAATGTACTTGTACTTACACGGCCCTAACATGGAGGAAATGTATACACTCCATGGCTATCGGGGAGAGTTAGAGCTAGAGGAAGGAGAAACGTGGATACTTTCATCCCCTCCCCCCTTCTTCCTTCTTCCTCCTCCCCCTTAGCAAAAAGTAATACTACTCCTACTTGTTAAGGTGGCACAATTTCTGATGAAAGCAGAAAAGCACAGTTCTCTCACCTCCCCCTCCTCCCATTTTAATGCTTCTCTAACCAAACTCCTGGCTCTATATGTGGCTGTAGCTGCAGTGGGCACTCGGTGTTTGCACAGAGGCTGGCCCTTGCCCTCTACACACATCTGTTACCTACACACACAAAGTCTGGCTGTTGATTTCAGAGTGTGTGCGTGTGTGTACATGTAGTGGAGGCCTTTCCCACGGCCTAGTTTGCACACTGTTATTGTACGGTACACACACACATAGCTGTGGGTATTGTAGGAGAGATATTATTATGGCAGTTGGCAGCCAGCAGAAGAGGAACCATTAGCCTGGGAGAGTGCCCTATTATGTAGTTCATTACACCTATGCATAGGAGCTGCCTATACATTAAACCTCTGCATATATTATACTGTACCTCTCTGACTGTACATTAGACCTCTCTGTAGAAGCTTAATGTGTATGCCTCAGCCCTTGTATTAAGGCTGAGTCTACCTAGGGCAATGCTTGAGTGATGAGTTTTCTGCATGTCCATTGTATATACCAGAAACTGTTAGTAGCTTATAAAGTGTGCCGGTAGGGGTCAACACTGTGCTGTTTGTTGTCAGTGTGCAACCAGAGAAAGTTTTCTATTGTGTACATACCTATGTGTCGATACACCGTTTGCACACGACGCAGTTATAGTTTCATTTTGGAAGCAAGTTTATGCAACGTGACGTATCATGATGCGTAGTTCACACGCAGTTTATTTTTATAATAATGTAAAGTTATGTGCAGTACACAACCTGCATATTCAAAATGATGTGTGATTAGCATCGTGTTTTTTACCCCGTGAGAAATGCAGCTGTCCGAGTGACTAGCCTCGTTCCGGATTCCCTCCAATTACTTATGCAACGTGACGTATTATGATGTGTAGTCCACACTGCAGTTTTTAATAGTGTAAAGTTCTGAGCAGTACACAACCTGCATATTCAAAATGATGTGTGATTAGCATCGTGTTTTTTACCCCGTGAGAAATGCAGCTGTCCGAGTGACTAGCCTCGTTCCGGATTCCCTCCAATTACTTATGTAACGCGACTATCATGATGTGTAGTCCACACGCAGTTTGTAATGATGTAAAGTTCTGAGCAGGCAGTACACAACGTGCATATTCAAAATGAAGTGTGATTAGCATACTCATCGTTCCGTGGACTTTTTGGCTGGTCTTTGAAAGTGGAATTTGGCCCGAGTCCTAGTCTGCCGTCTGTGGTGTGATGGGATTTGATGAAAAGTGATGGGTCTGGGGATTTGATGAAAGTTGTGGGCCCTGATGCATCCATCCATGTGCCTTCATTCATTCAGACTTGTGTGTGTTTGTGTCTCCTTGTGACGTGAAAGTATTGATCTTATGTATGTACTGTAACGGTAAAAGCTCTGAAAAAAGGACTGTCAAGAAAAGTAAACTGTTCTAAAAAGGACACTTGACTCTAGTATATACATTAGTGTCTCCTAATAAGAGCCATAGCATGATATGTCTAATGTAGTATTTCGCATTATGTGACAGTTTCCCATTATTATGTAGTGTATGTGGTAGCTTCCATATTAATTATGCGGCCTATTTAGAGTTCCATTTGTCGTGGTAGCTTTAGTGTATTTCGGATTATGTGGTAACTTCCATTACAAAAAGCGATCCAAATTCCTCGTGTCACTTCCAGAGCTTCCAGTGAACTTGATGATGTCATTATTGGTGATGTCATTGTTCTATGGAGTGTACATTGTAATCGTGGAGGAAGTCTGGTGTATATATTTCTTGAAAGAGTGTCATTTTCTGGTAAAAGGAAGTGTGGCACATACACGTGTAACTGGTAGAGCTGAGTCTGGTCATGTAATGTTAATTGGGTGACTAATAGACACTCCCACATTCCTGTCTGCCCTCTCTTAGTTGTCTAGGAAACAGTACCGGCAAAGTGTCCAGACAGCCTATGTATATACATGCGCAGATAGTAGACAAGTCTTGCTGTAGGGCCATTCAATGTCTGTTAATAGTCTACCGTTCTACTGTAAGTATTATCTGGCTGCTAGTGTTAGGGCAGTGTGAAGGAAGCTTGGGGCTATATATTATATAAACAAACTGCCGCCACCATAAGCTACACATCTCACCAATGTATGAGCATGCTGCTGGATACATGTGTCATGTGATAGTGCAGTCCCTCTTTACTTCCTTTATTGTCAGACCCACTTGTTCTGTATAGTTAGCTCTTGGAGGCTGGCTGCTGACACGGCTATCTCAAAGCCTTGCTTGTTGAGTTTGATGCCCAAGGCCATCCCTGAAAAAACACATGCAAGGTGTGCATGTTTAACCTGTGGTTGGTTTTACCTCCCTGGGAAGTACATAGTGTAGGTATACACTGTGTGTGCTGTGCAGGTATTACAATCCTGGGTACACAGTGTCGGGGCCCCTGTAGAAAATTGTGGGCATTGTTTTTGGTATGAGATAGAGTATAGACGCTGGTTGGAGGAATAAAACTTGTATAAGTACTGGTGGTGTCTACATGTGTGAGTGAAGTTAGTACACACCATAATGGTGGGATACTTCAGAGATTGAGACCTTTGAAAGGTCAATGCACACTAAGTTTAACAGCTGAAAATTTTTGACATTGTAGGGGAGAGAGAAAGCAATCTGGTACAATATACACTAGGAAATCACCAAGGCACTTTCCACTTTCTTGAAAATGTTCCTGAGTAGGGTCTTTGTCCTTTGCTATGTGAGGTGTTTCTTTTGCTGAGATCTCAGATTAGACAGCTTGTCTCCTAACAATGGAGGCTTGGCTGGAACTGCTGGAGCAATACAATGCTGTCTCCTTTCTTTGGAATGCCTTTGTTGAAGCATTGTTCCTACTACCTTTAATGTTTGTTACTGGCTGGCGCTGATGGTGTCATGAATTTGTTTACAACCACAATAGGCCAATATTGTAGGAGCCAAAGAGTTTTAATTATCAGCCTCTCTTCCTATTGCATCCTTCCCTCCTCCTCCTATTCCTCTCTCTCTCCCTTCCTGCTTTCTCTTCCCCTATTTTTCTCTCCCTTTCTTCTCCTCTTCTCCCTCCCCCCTCTCTCCCCTCCCCCTCTCTCTCTGTCCACCACAACAGAGCTCTAATGACAAAGCTACTGGGACCGCTGCAAGTCAAAGTAGAAGAATGGAAGAAGACCACAGGAGCTCTGGAGAGAGAACACGACAAAGGTACAGTGAAACCAAAACTGGACCCTCTGAATAAGGGACACCTACATATCTGTCTATTCCCCTACATACACATCCACTAGAGATGTATACTCGACAGAGAGAATGGGATTTTATGCATGCTGGTTTGCTAACAGGGGTGCCATGGAGGCCATGGCCACTTTTGAACTGGCTTGTTAAAACCAATAGCCGTGCACTCTGAAATCCGTGAGATTAAAGGCTTTTTGTTTGAAAGACCTTTTCTCGCTAATGCAAGTGTCTGCACACATACAAATTGCTAGAAAAGGGTGTCGCACTTGCTGAGCGTGTGTGTGTGTGTGTGTGTGTGTGTGTGTGTGTGTGTGCGTGTGCTCTGTTTATGGTCAGTATTGGCAGGCCAGGCACACTGCCCCACGTGAGTGTTTGAACCTGAGGGTAGCCCACTCGCCAGCTATTGCGTTGAGCCTGTGGGTGTGTGTGGGGGACAAACTGACCGCGAAAATACCGCTTAGCTCTTTAGTTCCTTCTTCCGATGAGTAGTAATGTGCACAAACTTGTGCTTCAATGGGGTGCTAGTTCAAATTGCTCACATGCAGTTATGCACAGTTGTATATGCCTGAAGGCACCAGCATCGATACTTTTTATGGATTGCCTCAGTCTTCATGGCCATCCGTGCAAAAAATTCTCTTATGTTACTCATTTTAAACTGAAGGCACAACAAGCTTGTCCCGTTTCATGTGAAGTGAAATCACTCCTTCTGATGCCATGCATACCGTTGCATAATTTGAGAGGTCTCGTCAGTGCTAATTGGTTCCACGGTACTCTAAATTGTTGGAAGAGACACAACTGTCGAAAATAGTAGTGGCACGTAACTTATTGCCCCATCATACCCATACATTTAGGTTGCACTAAACTTGCCTCGTGCAGCAAAGTATATAGCACTGATCTGTATGTCTGGGAAGGCCACACAACAAATAGTTGACCTAGCACTTGAGCCGACATAAAATTGTTACTGCTCCTGATGTCAATGACAAACTGTAGTGTTGCTACCGTCACCTGGCAAGCCCGTGCCAAAGTGTGCATGGAGCAACATATGGCGAGACAGTCAACCGGATAACGCCTGGCAAAGAGGTCGCGCCTCCGTGTGGGTTCGATGCTAGAGCCACTTTCCTTAATTGCGACACGTCCCAGGCTAATATATCTCCCTCAATCCTGTTGCCATGTGCAGCGGTTAGTTTATGCATTACGTCGTAGTGCTGTAATTATCATTATGGAGTGGTGGTGTATATGGTACAAGTAGTGTATAGTGCAGTAAGAAAGACAAGGGCTGGCCAGCCTGGTCAATAAACCTTGGCTTGGCACTTGTGCCTAACAAATAGCCCACTTTCGTCAGTCCCACGTAAATCTGGCATTCTGGTGAATGGGGCACATCATTGGGTTGAATCACTCCTACACCCACTCTCCCTTTCCCTCTCTCCTCCTCCATCCCTCTCTCTTCTTTTATTTTCTTTCCCTCCTTGCCACTCCATTCTCTCCCTCCCTTCCCCTGTTCCGTCTCTCTCTCTCCCTCTCTCCTCCTCCATCCCTCTCTCTTCTTTTCTTTTCTTTCCCTCCTTGCCACTCCATTCTCTCCCTCTCTTCCCCTGTTCCGTCTCTCTCTTCTCCCCCTCTCTCTCTAAACCCACAGAACTACAGAAATCAATAAAGGACATAAAAGATGCGGCAAAGAATGCTATGAAGACCGGGAAAAGCCTTGAAACAAAAATGAAAAAAGGCAAGTACAACATCTCTTACCACGATGTCATTACTTAAATAGCAGTGCAGCAAAATTACCGCAGTGCAGTTTTATTTGCAATATTCTTCGGCGTTTTGAATGAGTTAGGGAAACCAGTGAATGTAAATCTTATAGCCTCAAATAATCACGTGGCTCTAACATATTTTGTTTTTGTTGTTAACAGACAAGGGATCGGAGAAGACGACTACACTTCACCAGCAACTGGAGCATTATCACCACGTGAGTACGTAGCTAGGAGTGGCTGGAGCGTAGTGTGTGGTGGAATAACACTTCTGAGGGACTAACGTTGTTACCGTTTTGCAACCACCTGCAAAAGACCATTTATTTGTAGCGAGACAAATCTATGACTAAAAAATTTCTTGAAATTTCTTCCTTGAAAACTTCCCACTGTACATGCAGTTATAGTAGAGCGTATTACTGGGAAATGTGCATGTCCTATGTCTGTGTGTTTGCAAGCAGTTGAAGCCAGTGTATGAACAGTGGAGGACGTAGTGGTGGATATGCACCAACTCACGAAACATGTGTGCACACACACACACACACATTTACACTTACACACAACATACCTCTGTAAAAGGCTGTTGGTTACTGTTGGCAGCACTGCACTAACTCACTCCCTACAAGGGACCACACGCAAGGAAGTGTATTGACCCCTCTTCCCTTCTCACCTCACCTTTCCTCTCCCCCCTTTCCTCCTCCTCCCCCCCCTTTCCTCCCCCCCCCCTTTCCTCCTCCCGGTGTGACAGGAAACTGACAGACACCTGAAGGAGACAGAGGACAGGGAGAAGAGGAACCTCAATAGAGTCCTCCTCGAGGAGAGGTCCTGGTTCTGTGGCTTCGTCAACGCCTTCACCCGCGTTCTGGTGAGGCTTCCCGCGATACCCACAAATTCACAGATTTAAAAACCGGCAAACATGTATATTTTAGTGTGCCGTGTACTGTACTCAAATGCCAAATGCATTTGGGAAGTGTTTTGTGTAAGTGTGTAGCTGCAAAGGTACTCCATATATCCTCTGATAGCTTTCCTGACTTTGTAGTGTATATATACACTGGTTTCTAAGAAATTCTTGGCTTCCGTCAGGTAGTGAGTGGTAACAGATTGGTCCAAGTGCTGGAAGGTAGGGTCTCCAAATTTTTACCAACCACACCTGTTACCCAGCAACCACCCTAAAAGGCTCTTGTGTATATTCACACTGTATGTAATTGCAGTAATTGCATACATGTCACATCGTACATTAGAAGAACATTTACTGTGTTCCCCCTCACCCCTTTTCTTACCCTCTTCCTCCCCCACCACTTTCATTACCCCCATCTCACTATTCTCTCCCTTCATTCCTCCCTCTCCTCCCCCTCTCCTCTCTCTCTCCTCCCTCTCCTCCACCTCAGGACGTTGGGACAGGCATGCTGGTTGATCTGGAGAGACTGCAGGCCATCTTGAAGGACCTGTCCACAGAGGTCTCCCATCCTGCCATCCTACCCGAGACCACAAGAGAAATACTGGAGGTCAGAACACCTTAGTATGTGGCACCCATTGCCTGGAAATATTTGCTGTTTCCCTGCATATAAAATGCATGATCAGAGCCCGTACTACATATATAGGCAGCTGGTGCGGCCATTATAATATTTATCTTACGTGACGTGTCATTTACACTGTTCATTTCTGGGGTTGCAAAATGTGAGCCATTGAGACACAAAATACTGAAACTGGTGTGATGTGCCACTTTTTGCTTGTAAATGCGTGTGCAAACATAATAATTATTATCTATAGGATTACGAGTTTCCCTATCATGCATATCTCTCAGACGTGGATGTCCTTTTATGTACAATACTTTCTCATGCTACAGTATCATGTTTTTTATATTTCAGACGTGGACGATCCCGGCTTCCCCAGCCACCCTCCACAAGAAGATGTCCACTGCACCGTCCATGATCTCTGTCTCATCCGGTAGCTCCGGAGACTCTGGCGGACCTGTCATCAGCGGACCAATAATGACAGGGTCTTCGACACACAGCGGGTCCCCCGTGGGTACTATTCCCATCCAACAACCCCAGCCACCAACTCCGCCCAACCCTGCCCCGCCACCTCCACCCGGAGCTCCGCCTCTTCCCGGGTTATCTGGGAGAGACTCTGTCGGTTTCCCTCCTCCTCCACCTCCGCTTATGAATGTGCCACACCCTCCTCCTGCCCCACCCACTTCTGTTCCGTCGTCGATGATGGCTCATCTGCCCAGTCCACGCCCTCCTCCGCCTTCCACTGCTCCCCCTCCCTCCTCCCACCCCTTCCCCTCACACGCCATCCCCCAGCAGCACGCAATCTCGCGTGCCCAGACATTACCCCGCAACTTTGCCAACTACCGCGGCGCCTCCCTCGACACCGGTCTGGGCATGTCTACTGCACCAAAAAAACCCGTGCCGGTCCCCAACATGCAAATGAACCACTACATGCCTCCACCCCAGGGGGGTGGGGTGCCGTACAATGCCAACGGGGACTACATACAGAACCGGTCTCTCCCGCCGGTACCACCAGGCGAGGACCCCTACCTGCCGATGAACTCGGTGCCCGTCTCCCGGGGAAGCCTCGTGTCTGCAACGCTCCCTCGCTCCACAGACTCCTTCCCCAGTTCGCAGCTCTTCACACACATTGAGGAGTCGGTGGAGCCACCGTCTTCGCTCCAGGAGCAGCTGGTGAGCAGACTGCGCGGGCGGTCGCAGTCAATCCAGGCTCGCACAGCTCTCTCGGCTCAGCCAGACAATGTCTACAGTATGCCATCGGAGCCAGTTCGGGCGTCCAATAGCGTGAGCGGGAAGATGATGATGATGACGGGGCCACCTCCCGTTTCCTCGAAACCTCACAGACCTCCAGCTGTCGCTCTCAAACCATCCAGAGCTTGTGAGTTTTTCGTAAAATCAATGCTTACCGGGTGTCATATTGACAAACAATAGTCGGAAATAGAATTTGCTGTAGCTAATACGAGGACACTGGATTTTGCCTGCAAAATGTTATGCACAACATTGCTGTGTTTAATTCCTCTCCCTCTCTCCACAGCCAACGGTCATGGAGGATCTCCCGTACACTCATTCATGCAGTCTCCAGCCTTCTCACAGTCTCTGGACGGTTGGCCTGCCCCTCCCCCTTTCCACCAGCCCCCCTCCTCCTCGGCTGATCTCGAGCTGGACCCAGAAGAAGACAACATGTTTGCCAGGGCACTCCGGGAAAGGAAACTTCGCAGCGTGCAGACAAACGATAGATCCGACCCGCTCGTTGGGAGATAAGACAAGCTCTAGAGACCAATACTATTTCACAAGAACTGTCATGTTACATATAATATACAAAATGTGCAATTATTGGTGTGCCGTAGGCTACATAGAGTGTCATCATAATGTTTCACTGTGGATTATAACAAAGTGTGTGTGTGTGCAGTTGTTGTATGCTATTCTCCCCACTTGCACGCCAAGAATGTGTATTATTATTTCTGTGTCTCCGGTTTGTATGTCATCTCTGGGGTCTACTGGTGCGCATGCGCGGGATTTAGTAGGCGGGCTATATGGTGCGCACTATTTAGAGCAAAACGTGTGCACGGGTATGTTCAAGTTGGAGCCGGCAAAGACCCAGCTGTGGCTGGACCGTGGAGGCACAGTCGGGAAGCAGTGGGAAAGACTGCAGAAGAGAGTGCGGGGACATCCCCTCAATCACGCGGTACGCTATGTCAGTCTCGCTGGCCTCCGATAAAAGAAAGGGGGGGAGGGGGGCTGTAGACCCTTCCTGCATGGCCAGCAAGACTATAATTATAGTAAACTAGCTGCCTGTCCATGGAATAGTGATGTTTAGATTTGCCATAATGGCAGGTTGAGGTGTTTGTACCAGGGCTGGCTCGTCTTCCGTCCGACCTTCAGTCCCTGGAGCCTCCATCCTACTCCGTCTCTGAGTTGACTCTCTCTCAGTTGACAGAGCCCCATCTGCGGCCGTCTCTCTCTTCACTGTGTGGACTCACCCTTGACACCAGAGTGGACACTGACTGCGTGTACGCCTTGTTACCCCCAGGTCCGTTTGTTAACATACAGTGAAACCTCTGAAAATAACCCTACGAATAAAAGGCACACAAACGACACTTACATCTGCTCCAAACTTTTACTGTAGTGTAAACACATTACCTCCGAACAAGGAACGCCTCTAAATAAAAAAAATCTTTTTATGACCTCCAAGGTCTCTTCCATTTTTTGGAGAGGTTTTACATTTTGGTCTTCCCCGGATTGCCACATCTCTGCAGGAAAACTCGTGCTCTCGGTCGACAAGGACACATACGAACAGTTGGGTCTCGTTGGCAGACCATCTCGGTACCAAAAGGGGCATCGGTTCAGTGAGTTTTGTGGCATTCGTCTAGAAAAATGCACCACGTGAGTAACCTTTTGCAATTCTGGAATTTTGTTGATTAGGCTCTGCCCCCACTTTCTGGAAATTTGTGATTCCCTGCAACACTGTATTATTGTTTCTTCTTAGTTGTGGAGGTGGATTTGATGGCCGATCATTTCCGACCAGGGAAACCAAACTACGAACGTGTGAGGTGGTCCCTCGGAGAGCGATTGGGGGAGAGTGTCCGATTTTCACTGTGTCACTCGCCAGCTGGTAACATTATTGTAGTGCTCTTGAGTATGTGCCGCGGTAGCTCAGTTGGGAGAGCGTCAGACTGAAGATCTGAAGGTCCCCGGTTCAATCCCGGGTCTCGGCATCTTTTTATTTTTTCAATCTCTCCAACTTCTCTGCATTTAATTTTAGTCTATAAAAGTTTCTGACTGGTAGTATGCTTTTTTATAGAATGCAGAGTTGACAAGAAACTGTTAGGGACTCGTCACGACTGCGTCGTCGACAGACAACTCATTCACGACTTTAAACTGCCCGTTGTAGACTGTAGCATCCCTCGGGGACAGTGTTCAACGTGTTGTAGTGTCACTGACATCCAGACGTGGCTGGGAGCGGTGGCGTGCGGAGTTGAAGTCCGTGGGGATGCCCCTGAGAGTGATTACGTGTCCACGTACCGGACACCGGAACCTCATACGACCTGTCGGTATGGAACGAGGGTGCGGTGGACTGGAATGGTGCACTCTGATTGGGTCTGGGACCTCCTATGCAGAGCCAGGTTAGCTATCTAGCTGCGTTTACTTACACACATGCAGGAGTATATACGATAGTGGAACGTAATTTATCATGTCACCCTGGAAACTGTGTACACATTATTTATGCATGTACAACTGTTTTTGGGGCTGCTTGTACGTAAAAGGAACTTCTTTGCTCTGTACATTTCCTACTTTATGCACATTTAGAGGTGTTTTAGAGAGTGGCAGAGAAGCAGACACAGTTCCGTGGATAGCTGTGAGTGTCTGGGGGTTTGAGGACTCCCCCCTGTCGTGGGGGACCTGCGAGCACGGCTCGTTCATGTGGGGAGACAACCACTATTTGGTGCTACTGTTCAGACAGGGTCAGTACTGGTCTGTGACTTCATTAGGATCACATGACACAGTTTGTTAAATCTTCTTCAATTTATAGCACTCGTTTGTTTAGTAATCTTGGACCCACTCGTGATGCAAATTTGTAAACCTTCATCAGTTTTTCAGTCACTGTTGATTTGTAAATTATTCCAGCCTCTCCCATTAAATCATGAGTTGGCGGATGCAATACATTTTTGGCAAGCAACTGCTATTTAGCACATGAAACATTACGGTATGTGCCCGTCACATATTATTTAATCATTCAGACGACTAGCTTTGTTTGTCAATTAACCCAAACAGACCCTCCTGTTTAAAATGTGATTCATCTCTGTAAGAAACACACACTATTCCAAGTTGTGCTTCATGTGTTTTGAGTTAGAGTAACTGACGCTGGGATAGTAGAAAGAAGAGCTTTTAGCGAGAGAGCTGGATTTGTGGTGCTTGCTGGAACCTTCTGGTTTATAGAGAAGTGTGTGTCGGGGTGTGCTGGTCTTTGGCTGGCTGTTCGAAACCTCAGGAGCTGCAAGAGTTGGAGAGACTATAGGCAGACGGTAGCGCGTGGAAGGTTTGTTGGTGGCGTCGTTTGTAAAGGTTGCAGTTGGATGGCTAGTTGGTTTGGTATTGTGTGAGGGTTGACTGCGGCGACGATGCAGAGCGCTCGGGTAATGAGAAACTTCCGGAAGTGGCCAGTGAGTTGGGACTCCGTCTGTGTGGTTCCTGTGTGAGGACAGACTGTCGCACCACTGCAGATATGGCTCCTTAGCTTTTCTTCTAGCTGCTGCCGTTCTATGTCTAGAGGCTCTCTTGTGCTTTTGTCTCCTGTAGTCAACGTGCGTGTTTGGAAGAGTCCCTAGACTCGGCGTGCTATGACTGTACGCACGTCCGCTCCGCTTGGGCGACGGCGAACTTCCACCGGCTTCCAAGACGGGGAAGGCGGCCAGGCTCATGGTCCTGAGTCGATTCTCTATGATGAGCTGCTCAACGAGTAGCTCTGGTTTCAGCTGGAGAGCCAGAATTCTCGAGAGCTCGTCTCTGCAGTGGGCCAGCGCGTGTACCGAGGCCTCGTGTGCTGCAGAGGGCTCTAGCGTCACTGTCTGAACGTGTCTCCGAGGTGGGGAAGAAAAATGGAAGTCCAGGATGCTCCTTTGTGACTCTCTATATACTGCTCCTGCTTCATCGGTGGTTCTGCTGCTGAGACCGCCTCTGTACACGTAGGAATAGTTTTCATCCAACTCCCCGCTCATGTAGGAGCGCTTTTCGAGACTCTTGTCGTATTTGGAGTTCACTGAGAGCGTGCTGCTGGCGGCGTTGAGCGTTGCTGCTGCAGCCTTTCTTCTTTTATTCGTGGCGGGCTTTCGAAGGTTGTACGTCGCCGACGGGCGAACTGGCTTCCATCCGTAGCACATTTCTTCCACGCGGTCGCTCACCAATTCGGTACTTGGACGACTCCACAGTTTCCTCTCCTCTGTTAGGAGCAGTCTGATCCTTTCTACGTCCTCTTCTCTACGGGCAGCTTCGTTCTCCATCTTTTCCAGAGCTAGCCACTCCCCCCTAGCGATAGATTACGTAATGCTAAATATTGTCTTGTGCATGGGGGGCGGGGCTTTGTCGTGCGTGGCTTTCTGGCGTCATGGCAGGAGAGGACAGGGAGATTCATCCGTCTCCAGAAGACCTGGAGTTTAGCGGACCTGTTCAGTGTCCCATAGACAGATGTGGGAAGGAGCTGCCCAGCTCTGCCTGCCTCCGCATGCACGTGACTCGCCGCCATCAGGGCAAACCGCTGGCAAGAGCGCCAGGCAGCCTCGTTAGGGAGGGCTGTGCTGCCTTCTACTGTCCCGTGAGAAGCTGCAACAGGAGCAAAGAAGGGGGACAACCGTTTCAGAGGCGGGGGCAGCTCAAACAGGTAATAGACACAGTGTGAAACTATCCAGCCAGCCATAATTTTTTCTGAACGCAGCACTACCAGACGATGCACGGAGAGAAAAACTACTCGTGTGATAAGTGCGGCAAGAGGTTTGCTCTCAGAGACGCATGCAGCAGACACGAGCAGGAGTGTCAACAGAAGATTGTCTGCTCTTCATGCGGGCTGGATTTCAGAAGCCGAAACGCCCTCTATCAGCATGCCAAACGAAAGGGGCACACCCTCCCGAGTGGAAAGAAACAGACAGTGCGGAGGCCTTCAAACCCTCTGAATGTTGTATTTGTACCTGTCCCAACCAGTATAAAACTGGTTGTACCTCTTCCAGATAAAGGCAGGGTGGTCTCAAGTGCCACTCAGACCAATGAAGAGATGCCCACTGTTGGCACGCCGGCCAAACTAGCACCAGAAGTGGAGCTCCAGTCTTCCAGTAGTCAGACTACCCTCTCTCCCCTCTCTCCCTCCTCCTCCTCCTCTTTTAATCACAACCAGCTCCTCCGCTCACCCTCAGAGCTCCTCAGCCTGGGCACACAGACTAACTTGTCTCCTCCCCCGGCCCCTCGAGCCAACACCTCTCTCGTGGTTTCGACCCAGACGCTCTCTGCCCAGTTATCTGACTTTGGGACCCAGACAAGCACTGACAGAGCCAGTTGTACTGTGTCTTTTAACACAGTCAATGGCTCGCCCATTGTCTCACTTGGTGGCTCTTCCACATGCTACAACAGTTACGTGGAACCCTCTCTCGATCTCGTGGAGTTTGGCACACAGACTTGCCTCGCCTCGGCACCGTACGACATCGGTGAATTGGACACTGTCGATTTCGGGACACAGACAATCGGGATGTCTGATTTGGAGATGGACGACGCTCTGTTCTGTCGCAGTCTCCTACCACCGGAGTGTCTGGACTTTGGCACCCAGACACTGGACTTTCCCTACGACTGCTCCTCTCACAGTGTCGGACATGCCAGCAACAGCGACGCCAGCAACAGCGACACCAGAGACCAAAGCTCACAAACATAAGAAACAGAAGACCATCTGAACAAATCATCATAAATTATGGGCCAATATCACTGCATCTGTATGATCATTAAGGGAAAATTCTTTACGGTATCTTTTATGGGGTACAAAACAGTAATGATGCAACTGTGCAATAAATGAGCTAGATGTGATTCCTGAGGTTGACTAGGTTGGAAGTGTGTCTTTTGTCTTGCTAATTGAGCCAGTGTTACTCCCTCCAATGTCACCCTGTCCCTCCTCCATTCCCTTGAGGCCCTCCGGTAGCTCCGTGTCTTCGTCCAGACTCCCCGTGCCTCGCACAAACTCCTCGTACGTCGACTTCTCGGGGAACGGCCGCTCTCCCAACAGCTCTATCATGTCTTCCCTCTGCAGCACCTCCTGTTCCAACAGACGCTCCGCCACCTGTGACAATAGCCGCACAGTCTTTTACAGCGCACACCCTCCAATATGTGTCAACAACGAGGTAGAAAGACAAGGCAGAGCAAACAAGTCAACAACACCACGTTGACCTTGTTTTCACGCCCTTCCCTACTAGCTGTAAGCATGGCGTCCACTAGCTGTAAGTATGGCGTGATCATTGCACCATTTTCCCCCTTGAAAACAAGTGCAAGTGCCCTTCTCCAGTGAAAAAGAACTGCCTTTGGTGCGACTGAAGCCACTAACACTCTTCTCTACATATGGATGTAGATTGCAGGGACCAACACTGTTTCTAGACATAACCCACCAACACTGTATGTATGTATGTATAATTGTAGGGGCACACCTTGAGCACGTCGTCTCTGTGTTTCTCGATCAGTTGCAGAGTGGTCTGGTAGGCTCTGTTGATGAGCTCTCTGACCTGCTCGTCGATCAGCTGTGCCGTAGCCTCACTGTATGGCTTCTCAAACACAGTGTCCCCCTCTTGAGGAAGGTCAAAGGACACCTGGCCAACCAGGGGGTTCATCCCAAACTTTGCAACCTGTGAACACACGCAACACAACAAAACACAAAACAGAACACAGTTAAGGGGTATCATGGTGATACTGAATCCACCTCTACACAGTCACGATACATATGTAGGTAAGGGTTATAATATAATGCTCTTCATTGTACTCGAGAAGATGACAGTAAAGAAGAAATATTTTCCCAACTATACAGAGCACTTTGGTACTGATGTAGTTCTTCAACATAATAATACAGTGAAGCAGTATTATTTCAAGTAACTGTCTACACAGTATATACACATGTTCAAAGCTCGGAGAAAATTAGGAAATCTTGTACAACTAGGAACAACAAACACCCGCTATACACATACATACATTCAGAAAGTGAGCCAGTGTAGGTTCGTTAGTGGTATATACAATATACTGTGAGTAGGCACTGGAGGTGACCTTGCGGAGGTCGTCCTGGGCCCCAGTGGTAATCTTGGAGAAGAAGACCTGCTCGGAGGCCCGTCCTCCCAGAGTCATACACATCTTGTCAAACAACTGAGCACAGAGTGACGCAGGGAGACAGCAAGCGAGCAAACATAAAATTACTGTATAGCGTAATAATGATAGTTCACACTCTCACTCACACTCTCACTCATCCAACCAGTTTTTTTTGTTTTTTTAAAAAACAAAATCATTGCCAATGTTTCGACATTAGTTGGATGAGTGTGAATGATGGACTATTACATTGAACAACCAACAGAGACTACAGGATCAGTGGAAAATATAGGGTGTAAGCAGTGTAGTGTTTGTGATGTGCGTATCACCTCTTCCATGGTGTGGATGTACTGTTCTCGGGGTAGGTACATGGCGTAGCCAAGCCCCTTCCCTCTGGGGATAATTGACACCTACATGTACATATGTATGGCAAGAGAGGAGTAAGCAGTGCACAACACGTGAGCTTCACATCCATTCATGCTACTGTTAGTTAATGCTACAGTTGGTTAGTTTGAGGAGCGATGAATAAAAAGTGCCAGAGGCTTGATTAAAACCTCTGAAAAAGGGTCTACAAAGGACACTTGGTTCTACAACCACACACTAATACATTGGCAACCTCGAAAATAAGGGACACCTCTGAATAAAGGACACGTTCAATGTGTCCCTTATTCAGAGGTTCCCTGTTCGTGCCACTCAAGTTGTTTCGGGAAGCAGGGAGGTCTGAAATTCCCCTGAGGCTATGTTACTACTAACAAAAGTCGAGAAAGAAGAGAGGTGTGTGTGAATGTACATACCTTCATGAGGGGATCGGCATGTTCGAGGAACCAGCCAACGATGGCGTGGCCGGCCTCGTGGTAGGCAATGATTCTCTTCTCCTCTGGCTGTAGAACCAGGGACTTCTTCTCCAGACCTGCATGCAGGTGTGTGTGTTTGTGCACAACAAGAACACTTCACTCTACATACTATAGCTAGCAGTGCATGAAACAGTACACAAATACCGACGTCGCAAAACCGACAATGAAATGCTACTCAGCAGCCAAACCTCGCTGAATTGAGCCCAACATACATTTAGGCTGAACTACGAAATTTTGCTACAAAATTCCGGAAAGGGCAACATTTTTACTTTTGTTTTAGCAACCACAGTCCATGAAGGATCTTGTTTACGGTGAAAATGGTGAAGGTTTTGTCGTGGATTATACTGTAAGCAAGTCGTACCTGCCACGACCTTCGATGGCCCTCAAATGTCCATGTTGTCACACGTCAGGGCGAGGTGGATACCTGCCGCGATGAGCGCAGACTCGTGCACGCACGTTGGCAACATCAGCTCCCGGAACCTGGGTTCTGGCGCCATCTGACGGGCCTCAGCTCCTCCTCTGTCTAATCCGCTATGGGCTCAGGTGAACCTTGAAGATGGACGCTCACTAAAAGAGAGACGATATTCAGATACTCTAACAAATACAAAGACGTATTGTCACTACACAAACCCAATCAAAATAAAAATAGGAAGCCATAAGATACGGTGCTAAGTGCTAACAGTTCCGCGTGCCAATTAGTACGTATGGTGGTCAAATGGGATTGGTATCTTACGTGTCAATTGCAAATCTCTTGATAAATGAAACTAACTCGACACGCATTATTTGAGGTTATATAGACAGCAGGCACTATTAGCAGCACTGATCAGCTGTGTTCTACAGCAGGCTGCAGTGATCATGTGTCTACTAGTAGACAGCAGTGATCAGTGTTCTACAGCAGGCAGCGTGTGTCAGTGTTTCTACAGCAGCGGCACCAGTGTTCAGTGTCTACAGCAGCATCTACGCAGCACTGATCAGTGTTCTACATATAGCAGCAGTGATCAGTGTTCTACATCTAGCTGCAGTGAGTCAGTGTTCTACATAGCAGCACTGATCAGTGTTCTACATATAGCAGCACTGATCAGTGTTCTACATATAGCAGCACTGATCAGTGTTCTACAGCAGGCAGCAGTGATCAGTGTTCTACATATAGCAGCACTGATCAGTGTTCTACAGCAGGCAGCAGTGATCAGTGTTCTACAGCAGGCATATAGCAGCACTGATCAGTGTTCTACATATAGCAGCAGTGATCAGTGTTCTACTTATAGCAGCAGTGCATCGTGTTCGACATGCTAGCAGCACTGATCAGTGTTCTACACATATGCAGCACTGATCAGTGTTCTACATATAGCAGCCGTGATCAGTGTTCTACAGCCGCCAGCACTGAGCAGTGTTCTAACATATAGCAGCACTGATCAGTGTTCTTACCTATAGCAGCAGATGATCAGTGTTCTACATTATGCAGACTATCAGTTTCACAATAGCAGCACTGATCAGTGTTACATATAGCAGCTGTGATCAGGTTCACATATAGCAGCAGTGATCGGTCTACATATACAGCACTGATCAGGGTCTACATATAGCAGCAGTGATCAGTGTTCTACAATATAGGCAGCAGTGATCAGTGTTCTAATTAGCAGCGATCAGGTTCAATATAGCAGCAGTGATCAGTGTTCTACATATAGCACAGTGATCAGTTGTTCTACATATAGCAGCAGTGATCATGTTCTACATATAGCAGCAGTGATCAGTGTTCTACATATAGCAGCACTGATCAGTGTTCTACATATAGCAGCAGTGATCAGTGTTCTACATATAGCAGCAGTGATCAGGTTCACATTATAGCAGCACTGATTCAGGTTCTACAGATAGCCAGCACTGATCAGTGTTCTACATATAGCAGCAGTGATCAGTGTTCTACATATAGCAGCACTGATCAGTGTTCTATTAGCAGTTGATCAGGTCTACAGCAGCACTGATCAGTGTTCTACATATAGCAGCAGTGATCAGTGTTCTACATATAGCAGCACTGATCAGGTTCCATATAGCAGCACTGATCAGTGTTCTACATATAGCAGCACTGATCAGTGTTCTACATATAGCAGCACTGATCAGTGTTCTACAGCAGGCAGCACTGATCAGTGTTCTACAGACCTTCCCTTGATGTCTGGAGGTGGGAGGAAGATCTGTCGGTCAAACCTCCCCGGTCTGAGGAGAGCTGGGTCGAGGACGTCCGGCCGGTTGGTTCCCGCCAGGACGACCACGTTGGTGGAGGCAGTGAACCCATCCATCTCCACCAGCAACTGGTTCAGCGTGTTCTCTCTCTCGTCGTGACCTCCGAACCCTCCCTGACGACCTCTCCTGCGACCGACTGCATCGATCTCGTCAATGAATATGATACAGGGGGCATTCTGGGATGGGGGGAGAGAATCAATGAGACAAACTGCCACTCCACAAACAAAAGTGTAGATAGACCCTAAATGTAGCAAAAAACATCAAGAGAGTGAGTCGGGGAGAAAGGGCGAGTGATGCTGGAAAACACCGACCGACTGGGAAGCAGTGAGTGGAGAGAGAGTCTCTCTCCCCTCTCTCTCTCCCCTCTCCACGAATTCAAAACTTTCTAGCACTACTGGACAGTCTAAGGTTAAAATTCAGTGACCTACTTGAAAGCAATGCAACACATTTAAGCCCGTGATAAGAAGGTCAAGCCTGTATATAGATAGTACATCGCAGAAAATGCACAAATGGTGTGATAAACCTTTCTGGCCTGGCTGAAGAGGTCGCGAACCCTGGCAGGTCCCACACCGACAAACATCTCCAGAAACTCTGATCCAGAGATGTTCAGGAACGGGACCCCTGCCTCTCCGGCCGTCGCCTTAGCGAGCAGGGTTTTCCCCGTACCAGGAGGGCCAGACAGAATGGCACCCTGTGAAAACGGTACAATTAGCTAATTAATACGAAAGAGTGCTATTAGCTTTTGAATGGTTGGGGCTCTTACTGACCGCACAGTTATTGGCGATCTCTGCTATGTGGATATTTAATACGTAGTATAATTATAGGCGGACACATATGGCCAAATCTTCAAAGAATAAAGCATAAAGTATTTTGTCAATCTGTGAGAAAAAAATACTAGCCACAAAGTTTAAACTTTGCGCCACAACAACTCGTGATGCTATTGCACACGGTATGATATTATTATTATTCCACCTTGGGTATTCTGGCTCCCAACTCAGTGTACTGCTGAGGATTCTTGAGAAAATTGACAAACTCCATGATTTCGATCTTGGCCTCCTCACACCCGGCCACATCTCTGGATAGGAGATGACAGTCACAACCAAACCACATATTCCACTAAAGTACATGCATGTAGAATGCTGCATGCATGTGAACACACATCATACGATATGTATATACCTGAACTTGCTCTGAATATTTGTCTCCTTGTTGATTAACTTTGCCGTTGATTTGCCAATCCCAAACATCCCCTGCACATCAATAACACACACATTGCACAGCAGTCAAGAGGAAGTAGACCTGCTTCCCCAAGCAGCAAAGTGGTTCGAGGAGGTTCGGCGTGATCGAACCACCCCGAACTCACTCAAAACTGCTTCTTCCCCTGTAGACCTTCTTCCCCAAAAGTGGTTCGAGGAGGTTCGGCCATTACACGTGTAGGCAAAAATGTGGTACTGAAGATCCCTTATAACATTACCAAAATATAGCTTTGAGGGAAAATATCCACAATTTCGTATCAAACTTGAAGAAAGGATTGCACCATAAAAACTATTCTTGCCCACTATTTTGCGCAAACCTCAATTCTCCCAGCACGAAATGTTCATAATTTTATATACGTACACCCAGTACATGTATACCCACACAGAGAGAGCTCCACTCACCCCTCTCCCTGAGCCTCCCCCGGCCATCCGACGACTGAAGAAGATGATGGTACCCAGAATGAGGAGGGTGGGGGCCAGCTTCAGGACCTCTCTCAACCACTCTGCCTCGGCCACATAGGTGACCGGCAGTCTGTCGGCGGGGTCTATGTCCAGGTCCGACTGTGCCTGCTCCAAGTTCCTCTCAAAGGAATCCACACTCCCAATGTTGAATGTCAGGATAGAAGGGCCCTGCAACGGAGGGGTGTACACACACAAATGGATGAAATCTCCAGGAGCGTAGTTTTTGTGTGCAAAGCCAGCAGTATTCAAGTACGAGTTAGAGTACTGGATCGAGTGCTCTATGGTAATTATTGGGTGCTGGGACAAGTGTGAGAAGGTCATGTAACACGAGCTCTCACTGCAGGTTCACAAGGTACAATATAACACCTAATGTATGATGCTGAGAGAATGATGCAACCCAGGAAAACACATTTGCTGCCCTGTGTGGCATGTATGTGAACCCAAGACACTAGGCAGAGGACTCTTCCTACTGAGTGGATAATACTGGAGAGAGGTTTGCTAACTAGGTGTGTACATACAGCTCTGCAGAATACGAAGATAGTGGATAAGATGGTGGATTTTACCGACTACAGTTCAGTGAATTAATAATAGGCAAGAAATACAAAACAATTGAGAGATGAAAGTGTGAGTGGATACAAGGAAGACAATTACAGTTACTTACCTGTCCAGTTGAATCACGTCTGAGGTAGGCCCGGACGAGGCTTCGGTTCACGACCTCTAACCTCTCGACCTCTCCTCTCTCCAGGTAGTTGATCCTGAACTCCTGCCAGCTGATCTGCCGCAGCTGGCCGCCGGAGTTAGTCAGGACGTAGCCGGCAGCGAGGGCCAGTGCGAGGGGGACCCAGTTCGCCCAGTTCCGGGGATCGAAATCAAACTCGAACCTCCTCTCGATTTTGAACACGTACGGATCACTCTTTTGGTCCCCTGTCGGTTCTTCTCTACGAGGTTTTGGGTCTGCCTTTGACTTGGCTGCATACACAGGCACATGACTAGTTCTGCAATGCAGGGTATATTATAGTAGTGTATAGGTATATACCTTCCCCTGCTTTTTGGCCTGGGTTGCTCTTGGATGTCGCGTCCTTGGAGCGCTCCGGGTGGAAGTTTTCAAACCCTGCAAGGGAATAGAGCGCCAGAAGACGGTGTAGTGTAGTGGCTTGCTAGTTTTGTGCTCACCTTTGCGAACTTTCTTGCTGTAGCTCCGGTGTCCACTCCAGGGAGTGCACGGCATTGGGCGGCCGGCTCTGGCTGCCTTGACCAGCTGAGAGAGCTGGCTCCTCCAGAGAAGTGCAGAGCGCGCCACGTACGCCATGACTCCGCGATTCCTACTAACGCCCACCAAAACTGCTCGCGTCTCTTCTCCTAGTTCTTCTGTGCCGCAGATAAGAAGGCCAGCAAACGACGAAGCGAAGATGGTGTGTGTGAATGATGCAATCAGTTATTCAGTATGATTCAACGAGATTCGTGACCATCAGAAAGAAAGTCACGACCTCCTAATAACCTTCGAGACTCGCGAGAGGCTGCGAGTATTCAATGCAGCGCGGAACGTAACCTAACACGGCTCGAGGAATGAGGTATGGAATTTCTTCCAGTTCCCGGACAACGCAGAAAGAATGTTCATTAGGGTGGCACTGCCAAATCAAGAAGGTAACGAAATTCATGCTCACTGCAGAGGCTCCCCCAGAAGTGAAGACATTTTAGTGGTGGTAAAAGCTTGCTATCTCTACACAGAGGGTATCTTCAATGCAGACTGCTCTGTAGCTCTTCTACTGGACACTATCAAGAAAAGACACCACTTACCTCAACAAGGTAAGGCCAGCTGTAGCGTGAGAACAGGTTCTCTACAGTGCTCTACGCGTTTGTTGGTTTCTCGTGGCAGATGAGATTGACCTGTGCAGTGAGGATGGACCTCTAAAACATCTCCCGTCCCACCTCTCAGCTGCCAGTGGAACTCCCTTCTTTGAGTTGAGGGAGCTGTGTCTCGTTGTCAGAGCGATAGCCTCAGGTGAGGGAAACGTCAGAGGGAGAACAGACAAAACCTTAACTATTTTTGCTTTTTCAGGCTCTGTTTTATCCACAAATTAATATTGTGGACGGGATTCCAATAGTGTAAAAAGCACGGTTTGCCACTAAAAACCTCGTGCAAAGTTGCATTGGTAGCTGCATTGCTGTGGATTCTGCTGGGCGACCGATGCATTTCTGACTCAGGTACAGAAGATGGCACCTCTGATGATGGACATACCAGTCCAGTAACGTATGTTCCTGTTCTTGAAGAGTACAAGAACGATGAAGATCTCATGGGTATATATGCTCAGTGTATTTTCAAACAGTGTCACTTGTATGATGCCCCATTATGAGAACGTGCATAATATCACGCACACATGTAGCATGCTTGTGAGTTTGGGTTGCATGTGAAATTCACTTCCTACAATTTGTAAACCCAAATTTGCCTGAATAAGACATACATGTACATATTAGTGGTGACCCCTTTAGCCTAAAACAACCCAAGGTATTCAGGAGTTGAAAAGAAAGAAAAGTTCCGTGGGTAGACTTTATTAAGGGTGACCTCAGGGTGCCCATTAAAAAGGAGTTCCACTGTATGTTGTATCTAAATCCCATCATCCTCAGCCGCCCTGAACACCAACAGTGGTGACGGAAAACACTCGGGGGACTACACCAAGGGACGCAAGAAATCCAGCAACAGAGCAGGGAGCAAGCCAGGCACTCCAGAGGGAGGGAAAAGCAAAGCTCCAGCCAAAGTCGGCAATAAATCAAGACGTCTCAGTCTCACAAAGTAAAATGTCAGTATATATACCAGAGGAGCAAAAGGACTAAACACAGTGGTGTTGAAGATTCACACAAACAACATGCGAAACCACATGCCCAGTGACTTCATGTGTATAATGTACAATAATATGATATACAGCAACTAACATGATTTATGATTACCAATATTACATCTGTGGATGTGGTGAGTGCACGTAATGATTCCCTAGTTTGCAGACTTCCCGCGAGAGTCTTTTTTGTCCGCTGCAGAATCCCCCGTTTTACTACTAGTCTTCTCGTCACTCTGTTTATCGCCTCCGGCTTTCTTCCCCGACTTTTTCTCCCCGTCCTTACCCTCTCCCGTGACTTCCTTCTTCGCCGTCTTATCTCCTCCGCTAGAATCCTTCCTCTCTGCCTTGGTGTTGGACACCTTGTTCCCTATGAGGTTGTGGAGGGCGAGAACGGAGCGAATGAGAGAGGCGAGGTACACCAGCAGAAGCTGGTCGTTTGTCTTCACGGCAAACGCGGTGGCAAACTCCTCCAGATGGAGATTCGGGAGGAGGTTGAAGATGTCTTGGAGTTGGTAGAGGATCGTGTGGTTCATGGGCAGCTTTCCGGACACCACCTTCTGGAGGTAGTCTCGGATGTGCTCGAGGTGTTTGAAGAGACCCTGGAGGGAGTGAAGCTGGCTGCTGATTCTCTGGCTCAGTGTCCCAACCGTCTTGTCCTGGATGTCCCTGCACATCGTACATACACGGTGGTGCAGTTCACTTGAAATACATACGCACAAATGGACACAGTCACAATTCTTGCAAGTAAAGATGCATGCTGTCGGTGCAAAAGGCAATGGCGGTTATGTGTAAGCCTCACTTTTGCTACACTGTCGAAATTAAAAGCTCGTCAATATTAGTATGGCAACATGTTCGGCTAACTGAATACACTGCGCTGAGCTTCTGCAGAAAAATATGGTTGCTGCTAGTTAAGGAGTGTAACCTGAGGAGGTGCTCCACTCCGACCTCTTCCGCCTCCTCTGCTCCTATCTCACTGGCCACGTGTTCAAACGTCTTGGTGGTCGGTGTACCATCCTGCACACACACACACACACCATAAGCACTTTTTGTTGAAGGAGATTGTAAATCTTTACTCAGAGATTATACGTGTATCTTTACTCGGAGAGATAACATTGGAGCCCAGAACGTGACGTGACGTAAAGTTGCACGGCATTTTGCAACATTGGAAGGAAGTAGACAATCTTTGTCCAAATGTACACATGAGATACCTCAATCAAAATTACACAGAGATGTATACTGTTAAGGAACAGGTTTTTTGCGGGGGGATATTGTGGGGGCTTCTACAAGCCTTCTCGAGGCATGAATCAATCTAGGGTACAAGCAATTTGTAACATACAGGAATTTGCCCCTTTACTCCACCTCCCCATTTCAAACCCCTCACACCTCACGTGGCACATGCATTGCTATAGTGATTGACTCACGTCGTGCACTTCTTCCACTGAGTAGTAGGCGTCAGTTGGTAGACCAAGATCCCTGGGCTTGGCATCCACTATCACCAGAACCTGTCACCGACACACACACACACACACACACACACACAGACAACAGAGTGAAATGCAAGTGTAAATACTTGCTGAAGAGTGTAACATTTTGCTGATTTTACAGAGTGGCTAAAAGTGGCAGTGGTCTGTCCGCAATCTAAACACTGAAAATTGCAAATTACCCTAACGTTAACATGCTGTACACTTTTACCAACGTCCCTAGAAAAGGCGAAAGATGGGCTTCAATTGGAATGTCGGGCTCACCGGATTTGCGCAGAACTTGGCAATCAGTTCGTGAATGGCAATGTCGTTTGGGTGTAGCTTCGGACCGGTGTGGTACCAACCCACTATGTGCTCACGAGCTACAGGGAGAGTAAGGGAATAAAAAACACACTTCATATAATGGATGAATTATTTTGGCAACCAAATGCTAGAAGCTGGTGTGAAATTTTAGTGGTTCGCACTTAGGAATATATACGACATGGTAAAAGTGTGATAATACAATCGGCAGTTGAAACGAGGTAGGCTCACAATGGTTGCAAATAATCAATTTCACAATTTATAAATCTGGTGGTTATAGTGGTTCCCCCAGGCTCTCATAACTAAACTTTCCCCCTTGAAAATTTCCAACTAAAATGCTCCCCTTGCGTACCATTGACTTTTCTGAACATGGCGTTCATGTTCTCGAGGTAGTTGTGGTCAAGAAACCACACACTTGGCTCTCGCTCGTCCTCGTCAAATGGAACTACAGGGACAACAGGAGTTTGTATATAGAAGAACACATTCATTCTAACCAGTTCCACGGTTATACCTGCATAGCTGGTGGCAACGTCCACAACACCGCTCGCCCTCCAGCTACCCAGGAGTACCCCGACCACTCTCTTCTGATTTCCTATCTTCCTGAGTCGGTTGAAGTGGTCCACCACGCTCAGGAGCACTATTGGATGCACCACCACGCGCGTGGGAACCTTCACCGGCATCTCCCAACTCGCTCACACTGTACCACAGGAAGGCTACCGTTTCATAGGGTAAATTGCAACGCCATGTCGACCACTGCCGCTGCTGCTGCGCTGCACACCGCGAAAATCGAGCACGCGTGTAGTAAATATTTCTTTGTAATTAACGGTTAATTAGAAACGGCCTCGGGTTCAAAGGGCTAGGCTAATCAATTTTGTGTCGGTCGGGTGTGGCTAGGGTCACTTTCAGGAAAAGAGAGAAGATACTAGCGAAACATGCCGTCAGTTGGTGCTGTGATCCACGCTGGGCCTCACCCGAGCCTGGATGTAGTGCGACATTGGAAGGGTATTGCGGAAATAATCATTCGAGCCGTTGCTGCCGTGAGTGAGAGAGGGAGGTCGAGGTCGCTGCGGCATACATATACTGTAGTATCCGTAATTTAGCTGACTAGTAGACTAGACCATCTACTTTGACATATTCGGGAGGTATTATATTGTCTCGGAGAGGGTGACTCCATCGACAAGATCCCATCTTGCTTCTCATAACAACACTGCAGAAAGTGTTTGGTTTTTATTCCTCCTCTATTTTACTCCAGTTTCTGGCACTGCTGGGTGTCATATCATGCGCTGCAGCCCAGGACGACGTGAGCAGCGACGACATAGATGAAACACTGCTGAGTCGAAGCAACGCGGCATCTGGATGGGGTATATTCATCTGTTTCGTGGCCTTACTCACAGAGATCGTCATCATCATCATGCGTTTCCTGAACTTTGGTTTCATTCAAAACCACCTCACAGTGTCACTTGTTGTGGTAAGCTTTTTACGCTTCTGGAATCGTGGGTAGCCTCCTGTTTTCATGCACGTTTGGGTCCTTGGAATCCGTTATTCAAACAGTGGAATCCAGAACTTTCCTCATCTGCATAATTAGCCCTTTTTGTGACAGTGCAGAAAATTTTGATTGCACAATACGAAGATTGAGGTATATAGCGTCTAGCTTGGCATGCTTTGATGTTATGGGGGTTCAAGGTTTCAAGAGAATTGGGAGAACTAGGAAACCGATGCATAATTGGATAGTTCTAAAATTCTTCATGCTCCAATCTAGTGGCCAGCCGCAGATACTAAATTTCAAATCAGTATATAGGAATATTGAAGCAGATGCGCTGGAATAAACAGTTGATAATTGTGTTTAGGGTTCATGTGATAAGCACGCAAAAAGGAGTCTTATGTTCAAACCTCTCCAACAGGGAAAAATTTGTGTTTGAATCACTCTTTACTTTTCTCCGTGGTGTGTGTGTTTGCAGGACATATGCATCAGTGCCGGCTTTGCTCTGTTGCTGTTTGTGACTGGGATACCTCTGGCGGTGTATGCCAATCAGTGGGACGATGAGATCAAGGCGGCCGAAGACGACGTGAAGGATACCCTAGAGAAGATACCACCTGCACTTAGAGCTGCCTCCGTACGTGAACTCTCACCTTTATCTCACTTGCATTGCTTTTGTATGCCGTTAGTATTCACTTTGTTTACCTCTTATAACACTTTCGGCATCACCCCACCCCCCACACACCCTGCAGGCATTCTGCTACATTGCCCTGGTCGGTTTCATAGTTCTCCTGGTGTGGATGTTCTTACACCTGGTGCTGGGCTGGTGCAAACCTTCAGGCTCCGTCAGCCACGCCACATGAGATCCGGAATTTTATTGTGGATTTGTATTAATGTCCGATTTCCGATTTTGAAGACTTACATGCGCATGCGTGGTGCAGAATTAAAGACATAGAGCTATATAGCTAGAGAGCGCGCTAGCGTGAGAGATCTAGAGAGACGACTGACAGAAGAATGACGGACGTAGTGGCAGGAGTGGCCGGGAAGGCGGCCATGAGCATGTTCGGGCCTCACCCCAGCATCACCATCGTCACCTTCTGGCAGGGAATCGTGGAGATCGCGCTCCGAGGGGTGTGCGTGGTAAGTCAGTGTTGGTGGTTTGATTGCGATGGCGCCTCAGCTCTGGGCGATGTACGTGGAAACTTGTTGCCGCCTTTGTGTTGAGGTCACGGGAATAAATACTGATGCTCCAAAAACGCTCGGCCTAGGGCTCAGCTTTACATGGCGGGACAAAACCACACCCATGGCTGCCAAAGTAATTATGCCGGTGAATTTCGAATCCTGGCATCATTTTACTTTTGTTCCATGCCCGTCCATGTGTCGCCATCTGTATATTCACATGCCAAGGCTTCTGTACAGTTGTTTCAAAGCTGTGTTTCACTTTGGACTATGTATATAATTATATACCTGCACTGCTGTTTTCAATGGGACAGGCTATCTGCAGCGGTCAATTTACTCCAGTCAATTTACTCCAACAGTACTGTGCGCCCCATAAAACGTACTGACCTAGTAGGATTGTGTGTTTGGGTCCACACGAAAAGTTTAGGGAGGAGAGTGGAAACATTGTGTGTTGCTGTTTCCACCAAGACAAGACAAGAACATACTAGTTTGGGCCCCCCGTTCAAATTTTTAATAGCTGTAGTATCTCATCCAGCACTTTCACACACATGTGTATGAAGATGGCGATAGTGTCCACTTTCTTGTGAATTAATCACATGGCCAACATTTGTAGAGCAAGCAGGTGATGCCTCTCTCTGTATGGGATTACAACCTGGCAGTGTTGGATCATGCATGGTGCTATACAGCCTCATGTGACTTGCATTAATATACCCTCATCATGAACATGTAGTCGTGCACCTGTTGGGGTGCCATTAGAGACAGAGTGGAGCATGAAGCATTTTGGAGATTCCCTATGTGCAAGGTCTCAATTGCCCATTACGTAATTCACATCCTGGGACCTCCACACGCTTCACAATACCGTAGTATTGTAGTAGTATTGTACAACTTGTGTGTGTAGACCAAACAGATAGTGTGGGTGTTTATGTAAAAGTAAGCATACACATTTGTTTGGTAATGTGCATGTTAAGAATGCAAACAAACATTACCAATAATCAACAGTGCAAGAAACTAAAGTAACCTGAATGACATTATTATCCGTCTTTCTATGTTGGAGGCAAGTGATTTTTAAGTCAAGTTTCGTGCATTTACCATTGCAACTCCCCTTACCCCGTGAGAACTAAGATTTGTTGAAGGTGGATGATGTTCGCAAATCTCATCTGCAAAAGTCCACACTCCAGTATTATAGGTGCAGGTTAATTGGAAATTTTGCACTAATCTTACAGTGCCCATGTACATAGCATGTTAGATCTCCCTCCCCTTCCTCTCCCTTGTAATATCCCTCTCACCCCTCCCCCTCCCCCTCCACCTCCCCCTCCCCCCTGCAGGTCATTGCGTTCATTTGCATCATAGCAGCCGCCGTGGCACTGGACGACTTGGACGACGATGACTTGAAACGTCTCGATGAAGCCGGCGGTAACGACCAGGACTGGGAGTGGGAGGACACTGGCAAGCTGGCCAGGAGTGCCTGCGGGTTCCTCATCTTTCTCGCCATCATGGTCATGATCCTGGAGGGTGCCATCATTGCTCAGAGGTTTCTCAACTTTGGGATCGTGGAGAGGTTCAACCTCATCTTCATCATCGCGGTGGGTTTACCTCTTGCACTGCTATATATCTGTTAAGAGGAAAGCTTTTGAAAGAGAAAGCTTTTGTGGAGTTCGCTGTTTTTCAAAGCTAACTACAAACGTTTTCTCCGCAATTTTTGTAGGCAGGGACCGCGGCTGCTGTTTCTCTGCGAAATTTGTACACCAAATTACGGGAGCTTTCTCCCATGAAACTTTCCCGCTATTATATATATATATATAATTATATATATACGACATGTACTTTTTTGTCGTGTTTTCTTATGCCAATCTAATACAGTGGAACCTCCAAACAAGGGACAAACAACAAACAAATATTGTCCTCAATATACCACTGGAGCAACATGCCCAAGTGTATATATTTTATTTGTCACCAGAGGTTCCACTTTATGCACTGTTCGCTGGTAAATAATGTCTCCCAACACGCTTTCCCTCCCCCTCCTCCTCCTCCTCCTCTCTCAGGATATTGTCATCAGTGCGGTGTTTGCATTCCTGTTCTTCTGTATCGCCATATCCACTGCTGTCTACGGAGGCCGGTTCGGTGACTGGGAACGCGAATTCAACAGCCTCGGCTTTCCAGATAACATCCTTGGCGATTCAGCCGAACTCAACGAAGACATGGGTGGAGTGTCTGTAAGTTGGATTATGTGACAGTTATGTCTATGTTGCAAGTTTTACTTCGTTTGTGATAACCCCACCCCCACATATATACACCCACAGTTCTTCTGCTTTGCTGGGCTCCTGGTTTTTGCTGGTCTCATTGCGTTCATGGTCATCTCCTTCTTGCTCAAGTGGCGGAACACGCAGGTCAAGTACGCGGCCACTCCTGGAGCACTTGGGGGAGGCACCGAATGATCCCGTCGTCCTCTGTTATTACACACAGTTATGTAGGCTTAATAGCTATTTTATAAATGTCGATATAGACACCCCGGATTGATTGTATGCTGTACTTGTAAGGTGCACACAGTTGAAGTATTGTAGTGTTTTGATTGTACATACGAGTGTAGGAGTGTTTTTGGACCACCTTCTGTACTACATGATTTGGTTTTTCAATCGAAAGTGGAAAGCTTGCAATATGCTGCACCTTGGTCAGTGCTTATAAATCGTAAACAGTAATTGTGACGAGTAGTTTTACCCTCGGCGCGCATGCGCAGCGTGGGTACTGTAGTTGGGTCTGTCTATATAGTCTGTCTGTTACTCTACATCTCACCTCTCGAATGTCTGCTCGTCCCAGAAACGATACCATTTACCCAACGAAGGTCAGAAAATATGTGGGGTTTTCTCTGAAAATGCTCCGTTGCAGAGCTAGAGCGCTTCCAGCATTGTATGGCTAATGCCATTTTTAATGCACATGCGCTTATATTTAGCACAAGTTTGACCGGCCGGGTCTAGTCTGTCTATCTTGAAGGCACAATAAGTCACAACGAATGGCGTGTATCGACTCTCGCGTGCTATCTACTACTGTAGCTAGCCCGTGTCAGACTCTCTGCGAGCTACTTCGCCGAGGGTTTGCACTTGAATTTACACTGATCCCATTCAAGTAATGGCAGGGGTCTGATGGATAAGCACCCCCTCTCTTGATCGTGAGATCCTGGTTCGATCCTGCGCCTTTCTTTACAATGATGTAATATATAGGAGTGTTGGCTGTTGGTATAACTGGAACGTTTTTTCATCACCTCTCAAGGCCAGCCCGAGTGGCTAGGTGGTTAGAGTCGTGGGGACTGACACCATAGGTGCCAGGTTCGAATCCCGATCCCGCACTAAAGTGTCAGGTGGTCCAGAGCATTGGCTGGGAACAGCTCTGGTTCCTCCCCTTACCCACAAATCTACCACTGACCCACGTTTCTCAAAGGGCAGCGTATAGTTCGGCATTGCACTGCATCCGTAGACGTCTGTCTGGAGAGATGAAGGGCTGGCCGTTTTTAAACATTTTTTCAACCTTGGGTTTTTTTTTTTTTTTTTGCACTAAACAATCCACGGGTAATACGAAAATTAATAGAGAGATGAAAGGTTGGCAATTTTTCAACCGTATATACTTTTTACCCTCAAACAGAAAAAGGGCTGAGCATTTAAAAAAAAAAAATCCATGGAAATGGTGCATAACATGCTGTTCTTTTTGATGCATGGTCAAGACGTGGTGTATGGGCTCCACATTTCTATTTCTATGGGTGTATGTACTTGTGTATGCGTTCCACATTTCTATAGAGTGTGCCGAGGGTTTGCACTTTAGTGCTTTTCATTATTGAAGTTAAGCAGTTTATACGGTGAGATCGGAGAGTTAAGTCACGAGTATTGTTTAACGTGTGTTGACGCTTCTATTGTCTGCATGGCAGTGTCGACAACTGTCAATTTGTGCCGACTATTGGAACAATTTAGATCGGAGACAAGTTGCAACAGAACACGAAACACAAAGATAATACTGGATCAAACCCCTAACATAGACTTGTTTGTGGTTGCGATGATTGTATGTAAAGACTGATCAAAAAGGCTCTTGGATATGGTCGGTCGGTGTGCTAGTTAGATGGCTTCCTTCACTTCTGTCTCGACACCTTTAGTGACGCCGGCGAACGCAGACGTGGTTTGAATGTTCTTGTTCCAGTGGAGGAGGAGAAAGAGGACGGTCCATGTTCCCTGTACAGCTAGGGAAATCCCTGCAAGGATTCCACATGCCTGCATGTAGTGTGCGTTGAAAAAGATGGACAGATATAATTATACACTATATGGGGGGAGACATTTTGCTTATTTTGTTTGTTGACTTAGAGCCATGAAAGGCTGGCTGTGGGGGAGGGGGGGGATTCACAATGAGGGTTTTGGAGGACATTGTAGTTATGCAGATATAATATAGAGCCAGTACACAATGTGATGAATATCTGTGGTTTATTCCTTATTACATGATTGCAAACAGAAATATCATGTGTGTGTGATTGACCGGATGGGGATATGGGGATATAATATGGTGGTTGCGTTTTCTCTATAATATAGCTGTGAGTTGGTCTGTTTACAGACATTGGTCTTCTGAGTGAAACCACAGGATCATGATCTGCTTCATAACCAACACACTCCCACGTAGCAAAGCCTCATGCAATATACAGTTAGTGAATAGTGCACAGTGGAATATCCTTGCTGAGATACAGTAGTACTATTAATGCCGGATACACCTTTAAGTGTCTATTACACTATACATTGTAAAAGGGTAAGTATTATTACTTACACCAGTGGCAGCCACCACCTTTGTATGGAACATCCATTACAGAGATGTAGTGCCAGATGGAAAGACTGAACTGTCTGTACATTGTAAAAGGGTATGTAATCTCACTTACGCCAGTGGCAGCCATGTTCTTTGGGATTCTGTTAGCTCTACCGGTGAGGGCGGCTCCCTGGTCTTCCCAGGAGTCAATCTGCTCCCGCCAGTCCTCTCCCTCCACGGCAGCTGCAACTCCTCCAGAAAACGAGAACACCGCCAGAACTGCAGCCACACCCACCACCTGAGATAATAGAAGGACCCGCCAGTGTCATGCTCTGACCCTCGTTTTGCATGCCCCACAACATGAACAGAGAAAGTCGCCCAGAATTATTGCTACATTGGCTCCACTGTTGATTTAGAGAGATTGACTCCTCTTCTCAGACCATTTCCGTCACAAAATCATGCATTAATACTACGAAAGGCATGCTTTATCTCAAATTTAGACCACGAGCAAGACATGCACTCAGCCACAGTGTGTGTGGTCTGACTAAGGTTTGCACTGAGGTATCCGCATATAATATAGCACGTGTTGTAACAGCCCACACAAAGTTCCATCAAAACCTATGGAGAAGGTCAAGAGATGGGAAGACACCATGTACGTCGGAAAAATTAGTTGTATCACATGATTCACATCCGTAAAAATGGTGATACATACCCACCACTGTAGTAGTGTAATTTGTGGTATTATTGTATGTACTTACCACTAGAGCAAATATAAAAAAGAAGCGGTTTACGGCTCCAAAGTTGAGGAACCTCACTAGGACCAGACCCAGTTCCCAGAGAAGGAGAAATAGGCTGACAAAGATGAGGAAACCGGTGGCCGATCTGCTATCCTCCACCATGTCAACCACGTCCTCCGTGGCTCCTGTTGTGTCGATGGACACGTCAGAGATGGCTACGCAGGCAGCTACCAAGACAGCAAATGACAGTGCCTGTGAGGGAGGAGAACGGCGTTGAATCACAAGGAGTACACACAAGGCAAGTGCATAGCTATTAATGACACCACTTTTTCAAAAAAGAGCTGCTGTATGTCCACCTCTAGGATTCATGACACACTGCTCTCAAGGTACCCACTGAGCTACCAGGGCTCAAAGAAAAAGGCCAAAAAAACAAACTCTGTCTGTCCTACGTATGGTAGGAGATCGCTACACCAAAAGTGGAAGAGGGTTTCAGCTACATGTGTGCTGCCTTCCATTCGTCCTTGTGGATTGTAGCTCTTTGATACAATCTAAGTAGCTGCTCAGGTCAACTCACAAAGACGACGATGGCAATACAGAGCTCCACGATTCCCTGCCAGAACTTGAGGAGAGCCAGACCGGGGTGTGGTCCGTAGATCTCCCACAGCGCAACTTTAGCTGCGTCCACCATCTTCTCTTCAACGAAATTCTCTGTTGACATTACTCTGTACCTTTTCTAGTTTTTACTGCTCAGCTTGTAGCTATAAAATTATACAGCAGACTTTTATACCGCTGCGCAGAAGCTCAACAACGAAGCCCATGCATGCACCATACCACCACACTTTGAGCTAGAGGAGCCACGCCCTCCAAAATTTAACACGCGTGCGCACAAAGAGCTTGCTGAGCTAGCTAGCTGGCGCTGAGCTGAGCTAAGCTGCCATGGGGGAGTCACCTGGCGTTCTTCTAACTCCTAGCATCCTGGGCCCGAGCCCAGGGCTCTCCATAATACGCATATGGCAAGGGGTGGTGGAGATTTGCCTGAGACTCACTATAGCCGTGAGTTTGAGAGGGCCCGAAACCGAGCTACGGCTTGTTTGTTGTCTTGGCCTACACAGTTCTGCAGTCTGTGTACGGTGGGTCTCGCAGGGACGGCTGCCGCCAGCGAGACGAGTCTGGAAGGGAAGACCAAGGCCGCCGGGGTATTTGTGGTGGTATTTTCCTGTGCCGCCGCCGTGGTAGAGGTGCTCATAGTGGTCCTGAGGTTTCTCAATATTGGGGCCATCAATCTCCAGATGAGGAAATTCTTTATTGTAGTAAGGCGCTGCACCCCAGTAGTAACACGTGCTTTGTGGTATATTATGGCTGCTAAAATCAATCCCGCTAATGTTTTATAATGTGTTAGCCTCAAACGGCATGTTTCTATATCCTGGGGGGAAGGCTTAGGGTATAATAGTCTCATTAGCGATAGTGAGAAAATTATGACGCCCAGGATATCCTCTCAATGTACACAAAGGGAACTCTTCCCATTTGAATGAAGTCATGTAGTCAGTCTTCCACATTGGACACATTGCAATCTCCTGATTGATGCAGGATATCACGGTCAGTTTGCTGCTGTTGGTGGGGTTTGTGACGTCTGGCATCGTGGAGTGTGTGTTTGCTGCCAAGCTGGAGAGCAGGGACGAGATTTTGTGGAAGGAAACTTCCGCTGCTGCTGTGAGCTATTTACATGTATGGTCTTACTCATGTTCTCCTTAGCACACACAATATCGGACTGCCATTGTCTTATTGGGATAGTCACTAATTATACTACAATAAAAGGGATATGTTTCTCATCTAACAGTATGAACAATTAGAGAAATCATTTTTGATCAATTGCTGAGACACTGGATGCTAAGGTTACCTGGCCAATTGGGCAAATTATGGTGGCTACAACAACACTCAAAATATTGTCGTTACCACTTTGCAGGTTTCGTGTTTCGTGTCGGCAGTGCTGGCCGGAGTACTGGCAGTGTGGTCTGTTCTCTTCCTTGTCCGGAGATGGTACTACAAGATACTCCAATACATGTCACTTCCATAGCACTTTTTTCACTTGACTTTTTGAACATATATTATATCAGAGCAGAACTTTATTTGCTTTATGTTTATTACAAGCAACCTTATTCTTAATGAGTTTCAATTAGAGGGGTGTATAATATTTATTAGCCCAGATCCTTCGGCTGCTGTAAGTATAATATTGTGGGATGCAAATTTAGTATATAGGGTTTCCTAAAACTATTCGATTCACAATGACGTTGGGTGAAGAAGTAAAACTCACACATTTCACATTGGTACACAGCACAAAAATCAGAACATGTTCAACTCATATACGTTTTACTTTTTAACGAATAAAAATAATATGGTGCTATTATATAATATCACATAATACCCTCTGACTAGTGTGTGGGTGAAGGTCACATGACTGAGCAGCACTCTCTCCCTACACTTGTGGAGGAGCGTCTCTTCCCGGTGCTGTCGTAGGGTCACCCAGAGGTGACGTGCTGGTGTAGGTGGGGCCTGTATGGACGGGGGTGGGGTCCTTCTTACGTAGGACACTCTTACGCGGGTTTCTACTCGAGGACTCTGTCGTCTTTGGTGAAAACGAGTCGTCTATTTCTAGAGAGTCCGGTCTTTGGATCTTCTGGATTGCCAGTTGGCTTCCTCGTTTCGTTAGCGACTTTTCCTCCTCCCTGTCCTCACTGCCTCGAGGCTCCTCCCCCTCTCCCCCTCCCTCCGCGTCATTCCCACTGCCGCGTTCTCTGTCGGAGACGAGGGGACGATGTCAGCCGCGAGAGATTTTTCAGCGTTGCCGTCGTCGGACCCAGCGGTTGGCGATGAGACGGAGGCACGGGATTCAGAGGTGATGTCGATACTGTCGACAGTGTCCAGTCTTCTGATGGAGGTCAGTTCTACCAGTCCGTCCCCGTCTCCCATTGGGACCATGTCACCACTGCTCTCCTGTCTCGCCATCAGATCTCGATCGTGGTCCTGGACGAAGAGGGAGCAACAGGGGGAGAGTTTGAGGCCAAGTGGGAGGGGGGAGTTGGCTGGCTAACCAACCTCCAAACAAACAGTACTCATTATTCATTTGCTATATTATAATGGTAAAGTGGGCCCGTAGCTATTTGTGAATCCACGTACAAGGTATATACACACTGCTATTCACATACTGTCGGGTGGCAGATGTGTAGTATAAGAAAGTGAGATAAGCCTATAGTATGAGTACTCAGAGGTGTGGTAGGAGAAGTGAAAGTGTGAACCCCTCAATCCAGAACCCAACACGGGCCAGTGAGTGTCACATATTATTGAAGGTCTCCTTGTTATAATTGCACACAAGAAACTGAAAAATGTGCCCTTACTAGAGTGTCCTCATTTCAGGGGTTTTCCTAGGGAGAAATTTCACATAGATAATTATATTTCCTGACCTGTCGGACCATTGACTCCCTCCGTAACATTGCCTCCTCCTTGATCGAGTCCTTCATCATGTTGCTCTTGTCTGCCTGTCTCATCCGTCTCACCGAAAGCCTCCTGGTCCGCGGGCCCAACTCCTCCGATTTCTCCGCCTCTGCTTCTTCCATGGCTCGGTCCGCCGCCTGGCCAAACTCTGACTTCAGCTGGAGAATGTACTCTCTGACCTCTGGCTCGTCGGCAATGGCTGGAGGTGAGGAGTGAGGGAGGGAGAGGAGGGGGTTTAATGAACACGGGGGAATGAGTGACAGATGTACAAATGACAGTTACCACAACGTTAGAATAGTGGGTGTGATCTTCAAGCGTTAGGACAGCGAGGTAAGTGAGATGTGTAGTAGGAATAGGGACAGCGAACAAAGGTGAGATAGAGATAGAGACAGCAAAACTAAGAGGGTCAGCAAAAAAAGAGAGCGTAAGATAGGAATAGTGAGGGAGCGATCTTTATCAAGCTGCAACATGGCGACTCTACCAAACACTAGTCCAGACCGACCCTCAGGGTGTGCTACTACAATTAAACCACCCACCGTAAGCAGTCTCTCCGTGAAGGTTCTTGATGTCCATGCTGGCTCCCTTCTCGGCCAGAAGTCTCATGGCCTCCTGCTGTTCCCAGCACACGGCCGCGTGGAATGGGGTCCAACCCTCAGTGTCCTGAACGTCCAGGTTGATGTTGTCCTGGGAGAGAAGGAAGTTTAGGACATCCGCGTAGCCATTGGCAGCGGCCACGTGCAGCTGGAAGGTGTGAGGGGGGAGAGGAGGGAGAAAAAGGAGAGAGAGGTGAGGGGAAGAAAGATAGAGTGAGGGAGGGGGGGCATTAAACATGAACCAAATTCGGATATTGAACTACACACATGACTGAAGATCTTATTCTATTTAACGTTGTGTGTGCCGTGTGCATGAACCAAATTGAGGTTGAGTAACGCAAACACTCTTAGACCGGAGGTCTTTCCGTATTACATCGTGTGTGTGTAGCTAAACTCACCGCGGTGGCTCCGTACTTGTCCTGTACGTTAAGAGACCTGCCCTGCTTCACACTGTCCTTCAGGTCGGCCAACATGTTCTTGGGCACCGAGACTCGAATGTACTCCAGCACATCATCTGTGAAACCTGCAACAGACACAGACACACAGTAAGTAAAACTCCTCTCACAAATGTGGAACCCTTCTCTCTCTATTGTTATGTTTACGCACCGTAATTTCGTGTTTCCTGTGTTTTTAATGCACTAGCTTTCAATGTGACACAACAGAGGCTGGAATACAGCTAGTACTGTATCAAGCTGCACTACTGCATCTTAACAACACTTGTTGTGTCAGCATGAACCAGCGTTCTTCAAACGACAGAAACAGTGGCCACCACATCTGCTACAAACTTCACGCATACTCATTGTAAGAATCTAACAGCGGTGCTCCTACAATTATTATCCATATACATGTAGGAATTCGATTATTGGCATTCTGGTAGTTGGTCACCAGCCACGCACCATGTGGGTGGCCACACATCGCATGAACTACCAGCTGGTGGCTAATAGCCAGCCAACAAACACACTCTAACACAGCTGGTCCACTAGTGGAATTTTGAGTAAAGGGTGTGTACACAGTTTAGATCCCAAAAGCTGCCTGTAGGTATGATTCGTAGAGCGTTCCAAGCAAACATAAGATGATATTTAAGACCCTTGGGGTGGGGGAATATGACTACGCTATGAACAATTCAGTTGAGATAAGCACTATGTAGTTAATTTCTCGTCTGCTTATCTAGTTACTTCCTTCCTTTGAAATACCCAACACTTCTACAATCTCGGCGTTTGTCAACAAACGCATGCACACGCACACACACACACTCACCGGCTTCAAGCATCCTCTGCTGGAGGATGTATCTAATGTCGGCGTCTGCAGAGACGTCTACTGGCATCTTGTCGTCGAGGTTGATGGCCGTCAGACTAGCACCCTCGTCCAGTAGGAGGTTAATCATGTGTAGGTTACCCGTGGCGGCGGCCGCGTGGAGCGGCGTCCAGCCCTCCACGTCACGAGCGTTGAGATCAGCACCAAACTCCAGCAAAATCCGAGCCATTTCAACCGTGTTATCGATGCAGCACTATGTATATAGGAGACAAAGTATGGGATGGTAAGTGGGAGGCTACGAGAGCCAACAGGGAAACGGGAACTAGACTCTCTCTCTAGTTGTATATAATATACCAGACCGAGAGAAAAACAGGAAAAGGCAATATGTACCTTGTGCAGGGGAGTGAGGCCATCGGCATTGGATATGTTTGGGTCAACACCTTTCTCCAACAGTTGTCTGACTGTATGGAGGAGAGGGGAGGAGAGGAGAGGAGAGGAGAGGAGAGGAGAGGAGAGAAGAGGAGAGGAGAGAAGAGGAGAGGAGAGGAGAGGGAGAGGAAGAGAAGAGGAGAGGAGAGGAGAGGGAGAGGGAGAGGAGAGGAGAGGAGAGAAGAGGAGAGAAGAGGAGAGGAAGAGGAGAGGAGAGGAGAGGAGAGGGAGAGGGAGAGGGGAAAGCTACTATGTTGGTGGGTGTATCTAGCTGGGCACACCAGCCGATGCAACACCTAACAACCTCTACTGTATATAATGAGTACAGAGTTTTTTTTTACATAAACACTATACTCCTTCCTTACTGTAAACACTAAATTACTGAGCCCTAGAAATAGTGAATACAATTGGCAATATATTATTCATAGATGCTCTTCACTTAGTGCATATCGTGACTTTCTTGTCACACCAGTCGGTCACCTGCCACACCTCCCCTCGCTCTATGAGCATGGGAGCAATGTCCCATTAACAGAGTTGTATGCCAAATCTAATGCCGGGGTTTTATATTTCATGCCAATTCTAACTGCAGGGTCGTATATACAATATGGGCTATATCCCATGTAAATTCTAATAGCTCATACCCCATGCTGATTGCTACTACGTTCATCCCATGTCAATTTTAATGGCAGGGCTGTGCCACCCCATGCTGTGCAATGACAGGTGTATGGGGGGGCCTGGCAAAGAAAAGCTAATGTCGACGTGTTCCGAATCTTGGCTGGCAGAGATACAAGTTTCATGTACCACTGTTGCAGCTGTTTCAGGTTGTGCGCAAATGTCGCTGATACGCAAACGTTGGCACGCAGCACGCACTACAACACACAGAGCCTGCAATCTTTGCATACTACACTGACATTCTGACAAGTTATATTACACATGTGAAATGATGACACAGTGCACATGAAGGAATGACAGTATACAACTTTACATGAACTTGGACCAGAGTAAGCTGCATGCACGATCTGCCTTAGATGTCTAACATGTGTATTGCTGCATAGTTCCGTGGCAAACACACTCAATTAGAGGCCATGTGACTGCTGTTGTTTTTGATAAGTATAGGGGGCGGTCAAGTTAACCAAGAAACACTGTCACATGATTTCAGCCATAATGTGACCTGTGGAAGTGAAGCAAAAAGGGGCCACTGTCGTTGTTTGTGCCCTGTATGCGGTTCATATGGTTGCACAATGTACTGCAGAAATGTGGCAAGAATTCCGCGAGCAACTTCAAAGAAGTCGCTGCATAGTTAGACACTCCAAACGCCCCCAAAATCAAGTCCTGTAGCTAATTTGTTTGTCCATGGACTCCCTCCATCACTCCCTATTATACCCCGTCATACTTCACTTCCCGACTAGTGGCTTTTTGAAACAACACAAAACGAAATGCAGTATATATGAGTGAAAATAACGCCATTCTAGGACACAAACTCATCAAACTACAGGGAATACACCGCCATTGTGGTGATAAAACCCCAATGAGAGAATATGCTGTGAGTTTGAGAATAGGTAATGGAGAAAGGTATGTATACTGTAAAACCGGAAATATTGGTGCTCTATTAAATTTAGCGAATTTGGCGTTTAGATGCTAAAATTAATGGTCCACCAAAATATTTTCTATAAGAACTTACAAATCACTAATATTAATGGCCGCCAATATGTGGACTCTGAGTAAAAAGCTAAATATAACGGCTGCCAATATTTCAGGGTTTACAGTAACCCACGTTATTAGAGCGAAAGTTTCCTCCCTTGAAAGTGTCTACACTATAGTACGATAGTATGTATCAAAGCAATGCTTGGGTCAAACACTGTGGACAGTAGTTATTCAACATTATGTCCGTAAGATGAGCCCTAGCATGGAACTAAGCCATACTATACATACTGTAGTCATACAAACAATATTGACAGTAGTGGAAGACCAGAGCAAAAGGTTGTGTTGTAAGAGAAGAGCTAATGAGAGAGATAGTGGACCTCAGTGGTGAGTTTAGTTCCTTACACCAACTCCACAAGCTTATAATTGTCTTACTAAATAGGACAGCACTGTATATTGTATACATACTTGTTGGATATCCCTAAGCAACCGACATGTATGAAGCTACGTACTGGGGAGTTTTATGAGCATATACTATCCTGTGTGATGTAAGGTGGGTTCATACATGTCGGTTGCTGGGGATATCCAACAAATCTGTTGCAGTACCCACATCTGTGATGTGTCCTTATATCAGAGGTTAAAAATTGCACGCAAAAATTCTCTGTATTAAAACTCTCCTACAACTGCATAATGTGAGCAAGCTGAACATAAATGTGTACGTGACTCAACCACAGACTGGCAATAATATTAATTCCTTTCTGAAAACTGGCAACTGGTTATGTTACAGATATGGCCTGTGTTTTCCCACAGTAGAAATTCCACTCCAAAAATGGGTTTTCGGGAAGATCAATAGCTGGACTGAAATGAAATGCACTAACTATTCCATATTGTGTATTGACTACAATTACAAACACACATAATAATAGTATATACACCCCAAGGTGTGCCGGCACACACTATGCAGTAGTGATAAAAAACCCCAGGTATTTTCAGGCAATGCTGATAAAAAAAACACAACCTTCTGGGTATTGGTAAGTACCAACAACAGTCAGAATATGCGTACACACGAAAAATGAAACCACATCACTGTGCGAGGTAAAAAAACTAACGCTCCCACATGCGTAACTATCACCACTGCCACCTGCATACTGACAGAGCTAGCTAGCCACACTACTACTATATACTAGATCCACGTCTCATGCGAGCGGCCACACCCATCTCGCCCCTGAAAACGAGCAGTTACCATACCACCAGGCTCTTCAGCCATCCACCTCCAGCTAGAAGGGACCCTCCCGCACTCCACTGTATTGTAGCGATGCGTATACACACACGCAGACATACGTAGCTGTACGTAGAAACAACGTACCTTCCATTAGCTCGTTCCGTGACACCATGTCGCTGAGTATGGACCCGTCTTCGAAGGCGATGCGCGGGGCCTTCCGTCGCCTCATAATGTTTCCACCGCTAACACCGGCCGTGCTTGGAGTGGACGCCAGGGCTCGCTGCTGCCTCACGTACTCCTGGTAACGCTTCAGCTGCTTTAGACGTCGCTTCTTGGCGTGCTTCAGTCGCGCCGCGTTGCTAAGTTTGTCCAGTTTTGGCAGCTCCACGACGAGCTCTTCGTGGGTTGCCATCGTGGGTGTGCGGGCCCCTTTTCCTTATCTCTCCAGCTCCGGTGCCAAATGCCCTCCTGCAGTCACCTCCCTGATGGCTATACTTGGAGAGAGGTGGTATAATAGCCCTCGCACTCGCAAAGCTGCTGCAGCAAGGGCCTAATTATTAGCTGGCAAATTTTATTAACTTTCTGACTGCGCATGCGCACAACAAAGCTGCGCGCGCAGAAAATTCGCGGCGACAAAGTGTGGCCGGTAGCATCCATAACGTCAGAGAATATTATGATTATTCACTTTTGGTTTGAAACAAAGACACATACTCTGTTGAGTCAATTCTGTTGCCCATAATTTCAGCCACGTTCTTTGCAACCAGGTCTGAGAGAGCTCCACTCAGCTGCCTGGGTAGAGGCGAGGTCATGCCGCACGACCGCAGGTCCATCTTGAGATCTCTGCCAGCCACACTGCAGGAGTGGAGTAGCCGGAGACACCCCTCGTTGCCCAGACCTTCGTTACCGCTCACATCCAGTAGTCTCAGGCCCTGGCACCTCTGGACAAATCTGGAGACCGTGTGTATATATACCCCATCATGGTTTCCGTTCTAAAAGCATGTTGTAAAATGACTTCGCTATCATAACATAAGGTATATCCCACAAAACACTACATACATGCACATAAAAAATAGAGTGATCCAGACATCACGGCATTTCCAACCTCTGACGATAGGGTTTGCCCCAACTTGCCAAAACCCAGGACAGAGTAAAGTACGAGCATAATATCCTACGTTGCCGCACAGACTTTGTGTTACACACGTGCAGAATTGTAACTGCACAATGTCATGGACTGTGCACTTGTTTACGCTCAATCAGCCAACATAATTTGCTGCTTTAATCCTAGTGTATCGTGTTCCATTACGTGGTGTAGCTCCTTCATAATTGGGGAGCAAAGTAACCCACCTGTATAAGTCTTAACGACGTGATTGATAATGATCATTTTGTTATATAGTGGACAAGGCAAATGTGGCAACATCATGTAGAGCATTTAATGGTCTCAATCTATCCACTTTGTCTGGATTTCCTCACGACAAGTGGGTTCTAGTGGCTTGGAGACCTCAAAGATGACGGTATGTCGGTTGTTTTTGTTGCGTGTAAAGACTTAAGTTTCGGTCATTCTATATACCGACACATGTAAACTGAAACAGATAGCTGTATGGACATTTACTGCCCACACAAAACTATCCATCAAGCACAACTCGCCTTTAGCACCCATTATCGCTTCACTTGCAATTAAAAATACGACATTTAATGGATAAAGGGACACATCAAGCGAGACATCCCTTACTAAACACAGTGTTCATTATAGATAGCTGGCCTTGAGGGCGAGGTTTTTACATTATATACAGTGTATGTATATACTTGGAGAGAGGAGTAGTGGAGAGAGAAGTGAGACCAACAGCTGCCAGTCTCAGTTCCCTCAGGTGTCCGCAGTCGCCCAGTAGCTGGAGGAGACTCTCCATCTCCAGTGGGCAGTGAGACAGACTCAGACACTCCAACTTACTGCTCACCTGTACAATACACACAGATGTTTGAGGTTTGCATCTGTGTTTTATTGTGTTGAAGATTCAACCCCTACCAGCTGAGTTGCCCCGGTAGCTCAGTTGGTAGAGCACTCCCTAGAATGCAGAGTGTCTTGGGTTCAAACCCCCACCTAGGGCAACTCAAGCTGTCCTGGGTGTAGTTGACTTGTTTGTTGTGCCATTGCCTTTATACCTCACATACATGTAGAGCAGCATACATGTGTAGGTATGATATCGAAATTGCAGTGAAAGGCGTATAATGCCGCAGAATGAGCACCATCTCTTTGGATTAGCATGGAAGATTAACCTTGGAAACACATCTCTCCATAATTGCCGAGCGCATTAGCGCGAGGCAACTACCCCGGGTTGTATTCGCATACGTACGTGTCGGTCACGCTTAAGAATGTCAAATAGTCACGCTTAGGGAATGTCAATTAGTCACACTTAAGGAATGTCAATTAGTCACGCTTAGGGAATGTCACACGCTTAAGGAATGTCACTTAGTCATGCTTACGAATGTCAACTTCCGTCATTCGTAACACGTCTAGCTTCCGCCGTGCGCGCAGATTTGTAGGAAGTATATACGTCTGGCTTCGCGCGCAGTCAGTAGAGCTTCTGGTTGCAGATGCAGTGTGAGATGGGAGGTTTGGTGGGTGCCAGCCGTATATACCTGAGACAGAGCGCGTCTCGTAGGAAGTCTAGCTTCCACCGTGCGCGCAGATTCCTAGGAAGTATGGTTTCGCGCGCAGTCAGTAGAGCGCGCACGACCCGCCTCAGTCGGACTGTTTACGCTTTGGCTGGCAGGCGCGAGGCAAAATATGCGCGTGCGCATTCCTAGTATTGTGTGAGTGCTCATGTGTGACTAAATCTGTGTTCACTCATAAGTCCTCGAAGCTCATGTGAATGTTACAAAAAGGGGACAAATTTCACGCTCACTAACAGAATTCGTCACAGATGAGCACTCACATAATATTATAGAGAGATGTGTTTCCATGGTTAATCTTCCATACGAGAAAGCACATGATTTAATTGCCTCATCACCTGAGTGAAGAACTCGAGTACTTTAGGGTCCTCCAGGAGTGTGGGAGCCAGAGGCAGGTCGGTACTGGTGTTGGCCAGGTCCAGTGTAGAGAGATGTTCAGTCGGCAGACACTGGAGGAGGGAGGCCACGCCTCGAGGCCCGAGAGGATTCAGAGATACTACCACCTCTGTCAGGTGACCCAGACCTACAGTTGACAATACACTTACGTAAGTACGAATGACTGGTTGTGGTTGATAATCTGAATTTAAACCTACCAATCTTTACTGGCGGCTAATGTTAAGCAAGTTGTTGTTGCATTTTTACGTTGTAAGATTCAAGTGTCATGCACCACAAAAGCGGTGTATCAAAACAGAGTGTACTTGTAAGTATCAGTGTTCTATTGGGTTGCCCCACCTCTCAGTGTGTGGCCCAGGCCAGTATGTCTCTCCATAGCCCTTGCCTCCAGCCCGCAGCTCTGCAGGCGCAGCTCGCGGAGGTCGGGAGTGAGAGAGAGGAGGGCGGAGAGGGACGGGCCGCAGTCAACACCGAGGGGGTTGTGGGCAAGGGACAGTTCCCTCAGCGAGGACCACGGCTTGCAGCTGGGGGTGGAGTGGGGTTGGGGAGCCATGGACGATGGAGAGGAAGGGTTGGAGAGGGTCTCTAGGCCCTGAATGTATTATGTGTGGGGTATAAATCAAACAGAGCATCATACCCTAGTGTCGGGAAAGGTTAAAGGGAATGTGGCGGTAAGAGCTAAAGGAAAACTAATTGCATTCTTGCACTGGTTCTTTAGTAACTATTACTGTCACATTCCCCACATTCCCTACATTCCCTTTAAATTAAAGACCGCTTTCGTTATTTCCATGGGTTTGCTTAAATATTTTCTCATCATTATTTTAACGTATTGGCACAATTTCCGCATTATGCATAATACGTATGTGTGTAGATGTGGCACGCAAAATTCATACACATTCATATACAAAAATAGTACCTGTGGAGTAAGTCCAGTGCAGGAGAGGTCTAAAGCACGCAGGTTGGGGTGACGAGAGAGGGAGTTAGCGAGCAGGGACAACCCCTCGGGATTGAGCCTGTTCCCGGCGAGACTGAGGTTGGTGAGGGGGGTGTGGCCTCGCAGGGATGTGAATAGGGGAGGGAGGTGGGTGGGGAGGAGGGAGAAGTGGGAGAGATCGAGGACGGAGAGGCTGGAAGAGCCCTGGAACAGCTCCTGGACCTTCTTGTGACACTCTGTGAGAGAGACAGATCGGGGCTTTCACTTGTGGGAGAAAACCACTTGCTGTGTGGGGGTGTATGTCAGCAAGAATGTGGGGAAAACGTCAACCATTTTACCTTCTGGGATCTACACTTGCATTAGTGATGAAATTTGGTGGGAACAGAAGTAAGAGATGTTGAAGTAGTCAATCTTGAAATCACAAAATCACCAAAATACTACCCATGCCAAATTTCAGGATTAACGCAGTGCCTCACTTAAAAGGCAACACATGCAATGCATGGTCCCCATCATAACCATACATTGAAGTTGCACGAGGCAAAAGTTGTGCTGTGTTGTATGCTAGCCTTTACCGAGTCCAGAGGTTGCGCAGGCCATCTGGTATCGCTCGGGGAGGGGTGGGAGGTGCCACTGCTCCACCTGTCCCTCCACCTCCTCCCCACTCTGGAGGACGTGAGCTACCACGTCGTCGCCCGAGAGCAGCGCCCCGTCGGAGGTGGCCAGAGAGAGGCGTGGTCTCACTCCGTGCTGGGCGTAGTACCGCTCCCCTGCCTGGGTCGCCAGCCACTGGATGGTGGAGTCCGAGCCGCCGGGGAGCTTGGCTGGACACGGGACGAGGTAGGACTTTGACTGGATTCTGACTCTGATGCGGAGTGGGAGGAGAAGAGGTTGAGAGGGCTGCGTAGATTTGGTTGCGCGTCCTCTTGAAGTTACGTGGAGGGCGGGGGGCTGGGTGAGGCTGTGACTGGTGTGACTGGTGAAGGTGTGCTCCTGGTGAGGGCTGGACTCGGGCGAGGAGTCAACAGTCACCACATCACTACACAAATCTCCACCATCTCTTGAAGATTTCGCCAGCTCACCTCCTGCACAAGTGCTCCGCTCAACATTTGAAACGGAGCTGTACAAGACTCTCTGTCGAGATCGTGTGCTCCCCACTCCTCCTCTGAGATCTCTGAGACTCAGTGTTCCCTTTGTACCACCGGAGGAGCTATGAGAAGAGCGCTGACTGTGAGAAGATGAAAACGGATCTCTGGATTTTCTCTTCTTCGTCTGATGTCTACAGCCAACGTCGTCCTCTAACCAGTGATCGATTACCGGGTAAGCCCCTGTGGTTATAGACGATTCGACCCTGTCTTCGGGGATCAACGCTGGGGGTGCGTCTTCCTGCTGGGCAAAGGGTCTCTTCAACTGCCTGCTTTTGGTGACGTTGTCTATATTGTTGTGCCTCACAAGAGACGTGGAGCCCGAATTTGTTCTACTATTCTGTCGCGCAATAGACTTGGAAGTAAAGGGTTCTTTTCTGGAGCTGGCTCTCAGGGGGTCCAACCGGCTGGTAGATGATCTTCCTCCCCAACGATGCAGTGATTGAGGGGCAAACGAAACACCGTCGTAATTGTCGTCTTCGTCATCTGAGATAAGGACACTTCTCCCAGTTCTATCAGTCATCCCTGACCCTCTCCTCTGCAATCTCCTCCCTCCCCTCCTCCCCCCACCCACGTCCTCTACACTGCGTGAGACCGACACACTCCTCCCTCTGGACTCGTTTCTCTCCCTAATTACAGGGGCTTCCTCCCCACTCCACCCCCTCTTTCTCATCTCCGCCACGAGGAAGTGTCTGATGGCCATATGCTCCTCATCCAGTTCGTACTGATCACTCGACTCTGCTGCCGAGGCCAGCCTCTCATTTACCATGTCCACTGCTGTGTTTCCCTGACAGCCAAAAGATATATGTAGAATACACACTGCACCATAGTGACAATTTAGGTGAAACTTAGCAGAAAACAAGTACGTAACAGTTTTGTTTGCCTGCACCCACAGTATATGTATATACATACATAATACTGAGGTTCTTCTTGCGTAATAAAACCGGTGACAATGTGTAATATACATATACAGTATATACTCAACTTGGCATGGTATGTATGTGGCTATGATAATAATATGTACCTTTGCATCTTTCTGGAGGACAGTGGCCCCTCTCTGGACAAGCAGTTTGACAATGTCAAAGTGGCCGTTGCTGGCAGAATCAATCAGAGGGGTGACCCCTACACAATCATCACCTCCGAATCATTCACCTCGGCACCACCGTCCAGCAGACACGCCACCACATCTGGAGAAGATGACCATCGGGATAAACTTCCCTTGGGAATTTCACTAATTCTGTGCAATGTCGAAAGTCTCTTGCCAACTGTACATGCTGATAGTAACAATACATGTTCATCCATGGCATGAAAGACTAATGAGATACTAGCTTTAAAATTTCATGAAAGAGACCCAGCCATGCATTGGTAAACTTTGAGCAATAAGTTACTGCATCTCTTGAAGTTCTATGGCATGGCTGCCTTTACTGGCTCACCTAACTGTCCATGGTTGCATGCCTCGTGCAGAGGTGACCACCCGCAGTTGTCCCTGATGTTAACATCAGCACCCTGCGAAGCAACGGAACGCCATCCAGGTATATACCATACATCATACGGTGAGAAAGGGGGTAAGAAGTCCTGTACCTCTAGGATCAGCTGTCTGGCAGCTGCGAGGTTGCCTGAAATGGCGGCCAAGTGAAGAAGAGTCTCGCCCTTCTCGTTCTTTCTGGACAACTGAGCAAACGCACAATGTCATACATTATTGATAGCTTGTATATATAGGACACACTGTGTGTATATAATTATAGTGGGAAAGAGTTCCACAAAACTATACTTTTTTCTCTTAAAAGATCCCCTTGTATACAGTATAGACTGAACGTTTGGTGGTTAGAATCGCCAAATTTAAACCCTCCAATTTTGTCAGCACCGTGATTAATGTGCTCTGCGAGTGAAAGACGGTAACTGTCAAATAGTTTGTCTGAGGGAAATCAATGGCTGCTAATATCAGTTTATGAGTGTGTGTTACAATGATGCTTTCTTCACACTGTTATAGATGTCTGCTCACCCTTGACTTTCTCACCCTCCTCCTTTGACTGATCATGGACCTTATCTCAACAGCTTCCTCTCCCTCCTCCATCTCCTCCTCCTCCTCCTCCTCGTCCACTGTCTCCATATCTGATAGGGAGTCGGGAGTGACCAGCCCACTCTTTTCCTCCACATCCATAGCATCGATATCACTGTCGCTGTCCCCACTCGAGTCCACAGCGAGGTCGGGATGTCGCTCCAACAAACCCTCAAGCTCCCCCTCCCACTTTCCCCACTCTCTCCCACTGCCGATATTGCTACGCTTGCAGAATCTCAGGACGGCACGGCAAATGTCGATGCTGGCCTGCGGGTCTCGTATCTCTTTGGCGCAGTCACACGCCTTGTCGAATGCTTCCATCACGACTCCTTTCTCCAGTCCGGCACTGTGCCTGACTTTACCAATGCTGAGCCAAGTGTTGTACTCATCGGACGGGCCGGGTTTTCTCAACGTCAGGTCTTTCTCGTAGTAGAGGAGGGCGTCGTTGTAGCGGTGGCAGTCGGTGTGTGTGCGAGCCAGAGACACGTAGATTACAGACAGGTCTTTGGGATCGGCACCATGAGCTTCAGCCAGACTACACTGCCGAGGAAATGGATACATTTTTGCAATGTTTATACTTCTAGAATAAGCCCTCCCTCTCCCTCCCTCCCTCTATCGTTTTCTTCTTTCTCCGTGTGAAAGTGTGAGCAGTTTAGTTTACGTGCGTCAATTACGAGATACAAAGGCAAAGGCACAACAGACAAGTCAACTACTACATACACCCACGGAAATGGAAGTTAAACAGTGCACAATTTCAATGAGAGGGGGGGGTGGTATATCCACGCATCAACAAGGTAACGAGGCAGAGAGGCAAGGCAAAACAAACAAGTCAACTACCACCAGCACAGCTCTTTCTTTTCTTTTTTATAACAAACTCTTTTCTTTTTAAACAGTTGTTCTCAGGGTTACAGCTCAGCTGCAGTATTGGTCTGCTTCGGAGTGTGGCTCTAGTCTATGCAGCCCAGAAAAAAGCTCTCTAGTTCAGAAACTGACCTGTTGTTCATAGAATTTTATGGCAGCGGGGAAGGCTCTGAGAGAGCAGCAGAGGTCCCCGAGTTTCTCACACAGTCTCATCTTCTCCTCTGCCCTCTCCACACCCAGTGCCTCCATCTCCAGAGAATAGTGCACCACCTTCCTCACTGCATCCAATACGATTATCATCCAAGTACGTATGCATAGAAACAAGGCAGTTCAACCAAACCTACGCACATACAAACAGGAAAACACCTTCCCCAATACCTGATACTAGAAACTCTTCAGGAAAAGTAACATATGTGACAAAGATAAAACCTTTCACTAATTTTTAGTCTGACAATCATTTTGTCAGACTAAAAATGGAGTTTTTTTACTACCAAAGTGTGCAACAAGAACACATACAACAATGCTACATATTGTTTCGCTCTTCAGCCTTTCTAACGATGGTGCCCATGATAGGCACCAGTCTTATATCAATAGGTAGAGCACTCTGCCTTATACGTACGTACCTGTGCTAAGCTTTCTCTGATCGACCTCGGTCTCCGCCAGTTGGGAGTTTTCCAGCGAGATTCTCACCGCTTTCTTCAGACAAGACTTTGCCTCGTCGAAATTCGACAAGAGGAGCTGTGCCTATGAAAAACCACGGCGACACTCACTATCGTGTATCTACCAGCTAAGACTCACAGTCACAGACACACACCTGGCTCATCTCACGGAGGACATCGGCCTCCAGGTACCAGCTGTGCTGCGCGCCACACACGCTCAGAGCGTCTCGGAAGCAGCGGAGGGCGAGGGCCGGCTTGTTCTCCCGCAGGAGGTACACGGAGCCCAGGCTGCGGTGACACTGGAACACCATCGCAGAGTCTTCCACCTCTCTACTCAGCAGGGAAGATACAATTTGGCCTTGTTACGTCAACCAAGTTTTGAGTCAAGAAAAATATGTTGTTGGTTACTCAATGCATAGTATGCCATAAGAAGAAGAACGGGTTATGAACATGGGTTACAAGCTAGAATAAAAAAACTGAATGGTAGGAGACAAGTAAAACCATATGTATATGTATACAATAGAAGTGACCTTGAACTTTGTCCCAAGTTTATTAAGACTATTACAATTCTATGACAGTAAAACAGTACTATATAACAGTTATACACCACATTCACAGAGCTAAACGTAACAACAACAAAAACCTTGCAATGGCCAGGGCTTTCTCCATGAATTTCTTGGCACTGTGTATGTCTCCGCTGTCCTCGTAGATGAGTCCCTGGTTCAGATACAGTCGCAATCTCATCTCCAGCAGCTCCCTAAACACAATAATAATATTATAGCTGATGTCCAGTTTTGGTACTTTTCGTGTGAAAGAACTTCGCAGCTAAAAATGTCTTCATGTAGGTTAGGTGTACAATAAACTGTTAATGGAATGTGGCTAGTACAGTATATAAGGGCCAACAGGACCCACTGCGAGAATGCAATTACGCTTTCATTTTAGTAAATTTATCCCGTATATATGTATACTGCCCCATTCCCTTTAATCAAGTCTTCTGATCGATATTTCAGCACCTCCCAGCTGTACTCAGAATAATTATGACAAAGGGGTCTATGTGAAAGTTGTCCGCTGACCCACCTGTCTGAATTTACACCACTCAGCTTGTCGCAGATGTCCAAACTCTTGAGATTGGCATTTCCAGCCTGCACCCTCAGCTCCCGGGCCTCCTCTTTCCCCACACACTCTGACTGCATCAAGTACGTCCGTCCCAATGTCGCCAGAGCTCTCTGCTCCTCTACCAGATTACCTGGACCCCAAAAGCCACTACTTACAGTGAAACCTCTGAATAAGGGACACCTCGTGGATATCGAAAGTGTCCGTTATTCAGAGTGATTACACCAATGTATTACTATGGGGCAGAACCAAGCGTCTGTTGTAGAGAGGTGTCACTTTCTCAGAGTGTCCTTTTATAGTGGTTGAACTATATAATACCTGTACATTTGTTAAGTTGTTACAGCCTGATCACCACCACTACTATTCCAGTGGATTATTCTCAGAAGCCAGCACATTATGATCTGTGGAACGAACCCAATTCCCGTGCCATCTTGAGATACCGTCTGGTGTGTTCAATGGCCTGCTCGTAGTCCCTCAGCTCGGAGAGGCACTCTCCCACCCTGCGATGTGCAATGGCCGTCTCCAGAGCATCTCTGGTGGCCTCTGAGAGGTGCAGCTCCGTGCGGTGGTAGTGCAGGGCCTGCTCGTGGCTCCCTGGGAGTCAGGTAACACGAGGAGTACCATCTTTGTTTGTCTCTTCGTACAACGTTGAACAAACATACCCTTTCTAGTGTAGACTGCACCAATAGCATTGCACAGCTTTGCTTCCTCCACGATATCGTTCTTTTCCTGGGCTTTTTTCCTGCGAGCTTTCAGGGCTGCAGTGTGTGCGCACTAGGGAAGTCATTTAGGTTTAGAGAGGGGAATAATACTCACCCTCAATCTCCCTGTCTTCTGCTTTCTTTTTCCTAGGTGGCATATTACAAAACACTGTATTTTCTCCCCGCCTTTTGTATACGCGCGTGCGCGAGTTTCAACCTTGATGCGCACTAAAAAGAAAATTGAAGGCGTGGCTAGAAAATGAGGGGCGTGCCCACACCTGTGCGCGAACATCACCGGGCTGCTGGCTCTAGCGCTGCAAAAACAAGCCCTGCCTAGTTTGTCTCCAACCATCGACACGAGATGGCTTCGATCCGACCCGAGGCGGACGTCGTGTACATAACATCGGCGGAGGTCCTGTCCGTGCGGGAGCGGATGCACAGCCCCAAGCGCTACGTGTACGAGGTGAGCGTGGACTGGAGCGACTCCAACACCACTACCTGCTACCGCGGCTACACCGACTTCTTCGACTTCCAGTGCGAATTGCTCAGCACGTTTCCGTTCGAGGCGGGCGCCGTGAAGGGAATCCCGCGGACGATTCCTTACCTCCCCGGCAGAAAGCTATTCCAACGCAGCACCGCAGCCCTGGCCGAGAAACGGCTCCCGCAGATAAACGACTACGTCCAGCGGCTGGTGGCGATGTCGGAGAAGGTCTCGCGGAGTCAGTCCGTGCTAAAGTTTTTCCGCGCCAACTGGCAGGAGGACCGACTGCGCGGAGGCAGTTTCTCCGTTCCCAGGCAGAGTTCCCGCTCGGGGCTCCTGTTTCACGAAGAAGGTGATGTGGAGTACTCTGTGAGGAGACTGGACGACGGAGGCGAGGGCTACAGAAACTCTTACTCCATCTCTCCTCCCTCGGATGATGGGGAGCTAAGGTATTTTGTACACCATTCACGAGCAAGTCTAGGAAGAAGAGTGCTTGCAACAAACTGGCATGTAATAATACAGAGGAGTAATGTAAGCGTGTGTAACTAATCAGCCTGTGCATGGAAAGAATTTACTTAGTGAAGTTCCTATATACATGCTATGGAGACATTGTTTTATTGGAGTGTAATTTGATATAGAACACACACCACACACACTGCATGACAGACCTAGCCATATCTTGTATCACTCGTGCAACTTTTGGGTTGCTTTCACCCCACATGTACATCTGTATGGGAGCTTTGTTTAGGGAGACTTTACCTAATGTGTATTTCATGCCCACGTCTGCAAACATTTTGTACACACTTTTCCACCACAGTTCCATTCAAGTGGTAGAGCGGGGAGAAACCGGTAGAGAAAAACAGACAGTCGAACAAAACAGAACACAAGAAACTCAACCTACGGTACCGTAATATAAATTTTAATTCAATTCTTTTTATCACCGTTGGTCACTTTTTGAGAGTCTAGCAGCCCTGACAGGAGATGTTTGTCGGGAAAAACGTCAGTGTGCATGAAGTAAGACTTCCCTTGCGCCTGGAAAGTTGAAAACCCAGAGAGACCAGAGGGTGGTTTCATCTCGAGCACCTCAAACTCGCTGCGGACCCGTCGTGCCAGGAGAGAGAAGGTGTAAGCAGCGACTCGCTGGGTGTGGGGCTGGTAGTACAGATGGGTGATGTAGCCCTTGAGGAGCCAGTGGAGGATGGCCGTCGTAGAGAGGCCCACCAGGAGAACAAGAGATGAGATTGCCAGCCGTGCAGCCACCGGGACGCTCTCCTTCCCCAACCACACCAGAACAGGGTCCCCCACACGACGCCAGAACAGCCGTCGTGAGCGAGAATATCTTGAGAGCTTTCACGGCGCCTTTCAGAGGTCCAGTGTACACCAACTGGAACCCCCCTGCAGATGTCTCTCTATTAGGACCTCCGGTAGTAGAGTAGTGACGACCATAGTTTAGCTGATTGGTCGTATTTTGTCGAGCAGTAGTAGTGTAGCTAAGTCGTGCGTGACTGGACTTGACATAGAGTGAGTTACTTGGGACTACAGTCGTGGATGTGATGCTGGATGACAGTCTTAGCAGTCGGTGGCCGCTTTTAGACCAGGTACATAGGCGTACAGGTTGGAGCCCCAGAATAAGCCTGAGGCAAGCAGACATCCTCTAGCTCTAGCAGACTTCAGCTAGCTCAGAGCAGTGTGATCTTTGAACCTTTCAGTAAAAGCACGTGTGCAAAAGTGGGCAGGGCTAGCGCTAATTCTAGGTGCGCGTTATATAGACTTGCGTCCACATGGCTTTCAGAGTGATCCGTGCTCTGCGGCCCACTGCCGCATCTCTCCGCTACCTACGTCCCTACAATTCTCACAACCACCTGAGTAGTGCTAGCAGTCCCGCCAGTTCCAACGAATTGGATGAAACACAGGTGAAAGAGACCACAATCACGGAGGGAAGGTACAAAGAGCTTTCGTCACGGATTCTTGGAGCATCGTACGGTTTTTGCAGGTCCATAGACGACCCTTACTTTGGAATATCCACTTCCACTTTTCCCCAAAGGATCCTCTCAGTTCTACTGCACCCAGTCAATGAGCAGGACGTGGAGATAAAGCCTGACGGTGTGTGTGTGTGTGTAATGACATTTGTACCTACGTGTGCTACACCCAATGTTACAGGGCTGATTTACCTCCCTGAGATCAAGTATCGTAGAATTCTAAACCAGGCCTTTGGTCCCGGAGGCTGGGCTCTCATGCCAAGAGGAGAGACCCTTCATTATCAGGTAATTTGTGCATGATTTGGGAACTAGTGTCTTTTTGACAATAAACTCAGAATCAACCCACTGTCTTAGATTGTAAGGCAATGGAGATACCTCCTTGTAGCAAGGTGTTTTGGTAAGAAAGTGCCTAAGTTTAGGAAATGTGTCCCTTTTGAGAGCAATAATATCCACTACAGGGCTGTCTTTCTAAAGGTGTCCTCATTTCATACTCAAGTTATTCTATTCCCCACTCAGAATGAAGGCGAGGGAGCTCAACTGATCACCAGAGAGTACTCCCTCTACTGCCATGGGAGGTTCATCTCTCAGGCCACCGGGGAACATACGTTCTACAGCAAGTCCAACCTGAGCTATGGGAAGGCCTGTGAGAGTGCAAAGTCCAACGCTCTCACTCGCTGTTGCAAGGATCTTGGCATAGCCAGTGAGCTCTGGGACCCTCAGGTTTGTCATGTGTTTGTTCTATTGCCTCACACTTAGGCACAATAGTTTCTTTAGGGAGAAAATAATTCGTGTTTGGGACTTTCTAGATTTATTGCAGTGGAACCTATTATAAAGGGACACTCCATATTATAAAGGGACACTTTTGGGCCAAGTGCTAAGCACTTGATAAAGGCCACCTTTTTACAGGTTTTTCATAGTCCCACAAAGTGGGTTTCACTGCATGGTTTTCTGTTGCAATATACTCCAGTTCGTATCGAAGTGGAAGAAGCAGTATTCAGAGGAGGCTTGGTGTGAGAATGTGAGGAACAAGGAGAAGAAGAGGCTGTGGAGAAAGGCCAGCTCTGGAGAGACCTTCCCCTACCCTTGGAAGGAAATGGGCCCTGTCAAATCATCAAATTCCTCGTGAAATGGTCCCAAAGCTTGCACGAAAACTCAGTCATGAATTCTCAAAGACACAGCAATCTGCAGTCTGCACAATTATTATTTTTTGCAATTTCGTTTAATCCAGCAATCATGTATTTATCCACAAAAAAAAACAGAATGAGGATGATTATTCACAAACAAAGATCGTTGTGGGTTTGCAAAAGTGCTCAATCGGTTCTCCACGTGACTTCGACCTCGTCGGTTCTGTATCGCTGGGTGATCCAGGTGTCCTCGAGTCGTGCCACCTGTCCACTGCGGAACATCTCCCAGCCTGCCTGGGCTATCATGGCACCATTGTCTATACAGTAGCGCTCGTCTGTGGCAAACACCTTCCCTCCTCTCTCCTCGGCCATCGTAGCTATATTACACAGGGGAAGGGAGTGTTTTTGTTTCCATACCACTTGGAATCTATCGATATGCATGCCCAGTGCACAAAAGTATTAGAAGCTAATTTTGGGAAAGGTTAGAGAGGTAAATTCAGGCGTTCCCAAAACCACAATGAATGTATGTTTCATCCCCTTTAGAATTGATGTTTGTGTTGCATTTTTGCACCACTAATTGCAGGGACATACCCATCATCTCCTGCAGACGGACGTTGCAGCCGACACCCCCGACAATCAGCACCTCCTGCGACCCACAATGTGCCATAGCTCTCTCCGTGATCTCTACCAACATGGCAAACACCGTCTCTTGCAGGGAGTAGCACAGATCAGCAGCCGTGCACTCTCCCCGCTCCAGCTTTTCCCTCCCCTGTGACTCAATATGTGATAGAATCCCCGAGAAAGACACGTCCATCCCCTTCACGACATACGGCAGCTCCACGTACTTAGTGCCCTGTTTCGCGAGCTGCTCTATGTTGTATCCGGGGCTAGGGTCGTTTGATAGTTTTAGGACTCTAGCAAATCTGTCGAGACAGTTTCCCACAGCTATATCTATGGTCTCGCCGAAGATGCGGTATTTTTGCTGGGAGTAAGCGATGACTTGAGTGTTTCCACCGCTCACGTAGAGGACTGTGGGGCTCCTGGCGCCAGTGACGAGGCGACCCATCTCTATGTGCCCGACGCAATGGTTCACGGCCACCAGGGGTTTCCGCCAGAGCTGGGCCACCGTTCTTGCAACCACGGCCACCGAGACCAGTGGAGCGCCCATCCCGGGTCCCTTGGTGAAGCATACGCAGTCAATGTCGGCTGGAGTCACTCTGGCTTCGTCCAGAGCCCGCCTGAGGACGTCCAGTACGTGTTTTCTGTGGTGTGCGGCCGTGTCTCGCGGCAGAAAGCCCTGTCCCGCCGGAGCATGGTACGTGTGCCTGACGTTGGAGAGAACCACGCCGTCACTCACGATCCCGACGCCTAGTTTGTTAGCGCTACCCTCGAATCCGATCGCAACAACCATGGTGGGCTCTAATTGGAGATGATTCACCGTTTTTCGGTTTGCGCATGCGTACGGACAACAACGTTACGTACGCGCATCGGCGTTTTATCCCAGTTAGCGGCCTGATAAAACGAACAAAGATAAAAATATTCATACGGAATGCCACTTTGTACAACATGAAAGTTTGCAGGGTGGTTCTAGACTATGGTATACCTACGAATGCTACGATCTGCATAAAGCAAAACACACACAGCATGTAAAGAATAGCTTCCCTCCCTACATAATAATACCTCTTTTCCAGTTGTTTTGCTTCCTTCACGAAATATAACTCTAGTGGCACTTCGTCTCCCTACCAAACACACGGTAAACAAACCTCTGAAAAGGACCCTTCAAATAGTATAGGACACCTTTCTATACGTGATTCTGCCCCATACCCAATACAATACTGACCTCCGAATGAGGGTGCCCTCTATAATTATATGGTGTCCCTTATTCAGAGTCTTCACTGGTTTACATACGGTAAAATCATTCACTGACTTTAGATAGGTACTCTGCAATGTACTCGGGCTTCAAGCAGGCCACTCCGGACTGCACTAACTCCTCTAATGACAACTGCAGTATATAGACAACAGCATACAGACATGTGGGGAAATGGGTGATGTGTTCCACTCACTGAGTCCTTGGGCCAGTGGCTGTTGCCGATGAACGCATTGCTGACGAACGCATGTGACACTTGTCTGAGCTCTCCCTCTGAAAGCCTGCACACAAAACCACACGCCAACAGAAACATACCCTGGGCGACATGGGACGCATGCAGTTGTAGCAAAATTAATCTCGATTTTGCTAATCCTTTCTAAAATGTCCTTTCGACGGCACATATATTATGTTATGTAGTAGAAGGCAGAGACGCACTTGGCGGTGTTGGTGAAGACCGTGGCACCTCCAGCCTCTAGCAGTCTCCTCAGACCTGCCGTCTTGCTCCTCTCACAATACAGCAATACCTGCACACACACAGACCAATGCTACAATGATAGTAGGAACCCTGCAAGGAGGGATGTTAAGTAGCAAAAAGTCTGTGGAAAACCTTTAGTGCGGTGACTGTTTGTCTTGCCCATGCACAAAAAAATTGTTGCTCTAAAACCGCGAAATTTATCTCTTTCAAGGTCTCCCAGTTCTCACTATAGGAATTTAGCCAACGGACTCGGTGTGATGCTAGGTTCCCAATATGTCGCATTACATTTCTATCTTCTTGGCACGGCGTGATGGGGCAATGGAAAGTATTGTTCCCTGAGCCTAAGAGAGAAGAGAGCTAACCTTCCAGCCATGGAAAGCTCCGGAAACTGTCTCTACATCACCAACCTACACGAGCAGGGAAAGACGATGAGTCAAATTTTTTTTATTTAAATGTAGTCATGTGAGCTAGCCATAATATATTGACGCATCTCCCTCTCTCACATCCATTATAACCACACACGATGAAAAAGCTCTCAACACCACCCACATCAAACCGAGGAGTGATGTGTGAATGAACTACCGTTCTCTGCTGAGTCAAGTGCGACTCTCCACCTTCGTGGGGCAGAGTCCAGTGGCTGCAGCCCACTCTCTTTGGTGTTAACTCCCCACTCGTAGCCTTCCTCCTGCGAGAGAGGAAAACACTCCGTAATCAAATGGCAACTGGAAACCAATGATGATTCTCTCCAACTGTGCTGGAGGTAAGCCCCAAAGAGGGCTGATTTGGTAGTATTATGCAGTTTTCTGCCCTAAAATATTCAATCCCACAACTTCGCGGAGATAACGTCCGTAGACTGATACAGCTTAAAGTTTTGTCAACACAGCCTCAGTAGATGTGTATGCACATCAGCACTATCCAGCCTCACCTCTATGAACCTACGCTCTGCTCGACATGCCTCCATGTAAGACTTGTGAAGGACCCACTTCCCCGCGGCACACGCACCCAGAAACTTCTCCGTGCGACTGGCCTTGCCTGCAACACACACACACAAACTTACTAACTTGTGGTTTTATAGATACCGTGTTACCAAAACACTTGCGACAAAAAACTATCACAAAATTTACGAAATCCCCCAAAGTATTTCTTTCCAAAGACTTGGTTTAGCATTTCTGTACTGTACGTAGGTGTAGGCTTCATATAGAATGTTTCCGTAGCAGTAAGAACGAACGTATTTCTCTTGGAAGTCTCGGGCTACATGTATCAATCAGAGACACCTGCTCACCTATTATCAGATGTGTACAGGCGTTGGTATAGTACTCGACTTCAATATACTCTCCACCCAGCTCCTGGATGAGTGCTCCATAGTCCAGCTTCTCCTATTGTGGGAGCCAACACACAACACACGTGCATGACACCATAATATTGTTCTCGGTAGAACTCACTCTTGCATCAAGAGCTGACAGCATGAATTTCGGAGGCGTCTTAGCTTTACGCTGTGATGGCATCAAAAATAAATGAACCGAGAGGCAGGATATTGTATTTAGTTGATCTTATACCTTGGTCTGCATCGCCTTCTCATCAAATAGTGATTTGACTAGAATAGAGAGAGGTGACAGTCAATATTATACACTAGCTTGAGGATGAGGAAGGGAACCTTTCACACCTTCTCTGTGTCCTTTGGAGTGGGTGACAATAGGGACATGAAGAGCAGGAGGAAGAGGAGTTGAGGACACACCATCTCCATCTCTTCCCAAACGTCTTTCCTACCCTTACCACCAGCCACACTTCCTCCCCTGCTCCCAGCACCAGCCACACTCCCTCCCCTGCTTCCAGCACCAGCCACACCCCCTCCCCTGCTCCCAGCACCAGCCACACTCCCTCCCCTACTCCCAGTTGCAGTCTGCAGTCCACCCAAAGAGACTTGTCCGCGAGTGGCAGTTGCAGTGTGTAGAGGCGTGGTGTTCATCCCAGCCTCGCTGTGAGCAATGTCCAGCACCCACCGTGGCTCCTCTAGACTACTACTGCTACTGTTCTCTCTGAACAGGGCTGGATCCAGGCCCTGGGCTCGCAACTTATCCTCCCTGTGGAAAGAAAAACAAGTATACACATGCACCTGTTTACAGAGGGTTAAAATAATTTTTTTTAACCTGTCAATCCTGGCAAGCAGCTTGGCTTTCTCTCTTCTTCCAACCGGGTCATCATAAGTGACCTACAGACACACACACACACAAGAAAATATACTAGTGCTTAAAAGCCAAGGGTGAACGTTCTCTTGGTGAAAACTGTGCTGTGGGCTGGGATCATTGTTTGTTTATACTAAAGTGCAGAGTTTTCTTCGCCGCAAAAGTATTGTTTTTAGATTAGATTGTAGGAAAGGCTAGGAAGGTTATATATGTGCAAAATATTTTTTTCCCCAACAGATTAAAGCTACCAGCCACTAATACCAAATGCCGTATACCTGTAAAAATTGAGAGTCAGATTTCTGGCTGTCTGTAATTTCATCTCTCTTCCTGGCCCTGCGGGTACGTCTCTGCCGAGGCTCCTGCTGCTGGTGGTGGTGGTGTACCTGCCGAGGAGCAGGGGGAAGGGGAGGAGGGGGGAGGGGAGGGGCAGAGAGCTCTGGATCTTGTCGCTGAAGCCGTCTGCTCTTGCGTCGCTTTGTGTCCCGAGAGGAGACTTTGATCTCGTCCAGTTGCTGCTGAACTTTTCTCACCACCTCCGACGTGATGTCTTCGGTCTCTTTCTCCCATTTCTCGTCCTCCTTACTTCCTCCGTCGTTTTTCTCGCGTCCACCACTTTCCCCGATTGTCCCTCTATATCTCTGTCTTTATTACTTCCTCCACTTCTCAACTCGGTCATAGATTGCTGCACAGCATTGCAAAGCTCGGTAGGTTCGTGTCTGGATGGGGCCGCCTCTCGCCTCCTCCGTTGGGAGGAACTGATACTGATGCTCTGCGGAACAAGAGTTCGTTTATTAATCCCAGAGTGTATTTTGTTACTCAAGATTATGGGTATTGGATGGCAAAATAGCAAATGTACGTTTGTATACCGTTGGTGGAAGCCATATACCTTGGGCCACTATAGCTCATTGAAAAGACATGCTCGCAAAGTTACCACTGCACTTTTTGCCAAATTGATGGTTAATATGTTCATGTGTACCTCTCTCTAAATATCGCTCTCTCCTCTCTCTCTCTCTCTCTCTTGGACTCACCAGCGTCATGTTGGGGTTGTATGTGTGTGGAAAGGCAGTCTCCTCGACTCTCCTGCCTTCCGAAACACACTGTGAGAGCAGACGAAACAATCACATGAACTAACAGCACGGATGCGTTAATGTGTGTAAAGATCTCTCAACTCCTCCACACTGCCAGGTATAGTACACACACGAAATAGCCTAGGGTGTAATAAATATTGCAGGGTGAAAATTTGTCTTCTGAGACCAAATGTCTAGTTTTTTTTTATTGAATGCAGAAGGCTACAATTCAAACCTATTTATGAACTTAGGTAAAGAAAAAGTATGAAAAATCTGTGATAAAATATCGGTACACCAAGGATAGTGTGTGTTTGTCTCACGGCATGTATCCAGTGAGGAGAGACAATGACGCAGCCATTCTCGCGTGCTGCTCTCACTTGTCTGTCTCTCACGGCCTCCGCAGCTTTACCCTGTGCGAATGAATTCAAGTTGGCAGCTCAAACTGCTAATACTGTATATTCCAGCAGAATAAAGCTGACATTTTACAATTTCACTTGTGCACACTGTTTAAGATTTGCATAACATGATGTGGGAAGTAAGTTTCTACCGTTCAAATATTCTTGCCGTGACACATACCGTATTTCCTCGAATAAACGCCGCACTTCGAATAGTAGCCGCCCTCGAATAGGCGCCGCGGGTTAGTGGCACTGAAAAAAATAGTAGCCGCGGCGTTTATTCGAGGAAATACGGTAATATACAGTAGTTTGCCACTGCACACTTTTCTACTATAATGTTAACTTTTGAATGAAGATCAATGAAGATTAACTACTGAAGAACTTAGTAATCGTGAGTTCACCTGGTAGACATAGTGAGTACAGGAGTCACTGAAACTCCAGTGACATTCTGCTCCCAGTGATCCAGCCAGGTTATGGAGGTCAGCTACACAACACACACAACACACACACAAATGAACCACATGGTGCGATGCTTCACTAAGACCGTATACACTGACCTGGTGCCTGTATTTTCTTACTGACACACAGTACCACTCCCTCTAGTACATGTCCCGCCTCTTCTTTCCCTGCTTCATCTCCTCCCTCGTGTTGCAGGTAGGGATCTGCCTCGCCCTCCCCCCTCTCTTCCTCCTCCTCTATTCCACCGTTCAAAATCTCCCCACCTCTTTCTTCTCCTTCTTCTTCATCATCTCTGGCCCTCTCTTTCTGCCTGTCTCCATCTCCCTCTCTTCCTGCCGTCCCCAGGTTGTTGTCTGCCTCACGTGGTGACTGCTGTACCAGTAGGTGAGGTTCAACTGGTACTATTCCACCATTCTCAGCACACGCAAACAACCAACTGCAGTGGCAGAGTTTAAAAGGTCAAGTGCACACCTGAGCAAGTCAATGACTGGGTTAACTATTTATGAAAGTACCTGTATATACTTATGGCATGCTTTTCAGATAAATTTTGAATGAAGGGTATATCACCAGAATGGCATTTCAATTGTGTAACAATTGGTAAGGCAATTTTTCGAGTGCCTAAAAACACTGGATAACTTCCATACAAAAAAGGTCATCCTGCGTGCATTGAGTTACCTGTCGGCTACGGCAGGGACTCCCCAATGGAGAGCATGTGTGTACTTGTCTCCCTGAGGGGTCTTTAGGATGAGGTGAGTGGTGGCCAGGAGGTGGTGGGCTGGGTAGTGGGTGAAGTAGTCCTGCACTCTGCAGCAACACACACACTAGCAGTATCACACGTATGACAGTGTCATATGTACATAGGTGATGCACTATAGTCCATCAGTGTTGAGAATGCATGTTGAATAACCTGTACTCTATTGCACAGTGCTTGGGGTGCCATTCTGTAGGGCTAGGGCTGCACTCTGCAGCAACACACACACTAGTCAGTACCACACGTATGACAGTGTCATATGTACATAGGTGATGCACTATAGTCCATCAGTGTTGAGAATGCATGTTGAATAACCTGTACTCTATTGCACAGTGCATTCTGTAGCTCTGCAATCTCCGTTGGTTTGGTCTTGGTTCGGTAAAAATCCAATGCATAGTTTTTGTGTGACACTAGAAAAACTCTCCTAGATGTATGGCAAAGTGGATTCTCAACTTAAACATACCAAGTCGCCCCCATACTTATGACAGTCACGAGTCGGCATGACAGTCCCAAAGATACGCTAGTCACATCACCATACGGTGTAGATTTAAGTAAGTACAAGCAAGGGAAGAAAGAAACGGTCTAACCAACATTCCTGCACTAGGACAAAACTTCGTCATTTAGCATTAAAAACATACAGAGAAACACAGCACTGTCGAAAACTCACACTCACATTGCTCCCAGACCCTTCCCAAACCGTATGAGATGCTCCCTCTCCAGATCTGAAAACTGACTGCATTCAGACAGAGACACATTCTCTCACATAATCGGAATAAGGCCTAAGCTACATACACTGCAGCTATATACCTGAAAGCAAGGACACAGTCGGTGAGAGTGGTGTCCGCTATTTTCCTAGCCAGGGGCTGAAACAAGAAGTTTGAACTTGGCTCCAGAACTTCTCCAGCTTCTATGCTCCTTTGCTGCAGGTAAGATCGTGGGATCATTAGTACTCTTACGAGGGAGAAAGTGTTTGAAAGGGACTCCCGTGGAATGCTTGTCTATAATGTAAAAACCTCCGTTTTTCACTATACAGTATGCTATAGCTGAATGGAAGGGAAGAGAGAGAGAAAAGTGGAGATACGGAGAGAAGAGGGAGAGAGGAGATGGGAGAGATGGGAGAAGAAACGGAGAGGTTGTTTCTCACAAGCCATATCATGGTGACAGGAGAGGCAGCTGAGCTGAGCTCTTCTTGCCTGCCGGGAGCCGTCCTGTCCACTACCTCAAGGGGGAGAGAGGAGGTAGCCAGCCTCCTTCGCCCCCACCACATCTCCTGCAAGAGACAAAATTACATCCTAGGGTCACTTCCACTGCACACTCCAACTATAGCCATACTACACAAGGTGGTTAGTTAGGCAGTCTTTCCTTCTAGACGTGTGCTAAAAATACGAAAGATTTAGGTCACTATCTTTAACACTTGTTCCTATGATTATTTCCACTGCACACTCCAACTATAGCCATACTACACAATGTGGTTAGTTAGCCAGTCTTTCCTTCTAGACGTTTGCTAAAAATACGAATGATTTAGGCCACTATCTTTAACACTTGTTCCTAGGATTATTTCCACTGCACACTCCAACTATAGCCATACTACACAATGTGGTTAGTTAGCCAGTCTTTCCTTCTAGACGTTTGCTAAAAATACGAATGATT